CTCTCTCTCTCTCTCTCTCTCTCTCTCTCTCTCTCTCTCTCTCTCTGGTCAGTGTGTTTTTCCTGCTGTTCACATAAACTGATATCATGTGTTTGACTTTAGTTTGACGTCAGGTGTAAAGGCATCTTTACGCTCTAGTGGTGTTTTTCGTGCAATTTATTAAAGACATCAATCTTTGTGCGCAGAGATTGGCGCTGTGCACTTGATGTGTGTTCTAAAACCTCTCCAGCAGAGGTCGCTTATTCCCTTATATACTCTCAAAGGGGTTACTTAGCAACAGATCCCTCAAATGTAACAGTGCCCATCATGATTGGCATTATCAGTGGGGTTTTATTGTGCCTCATCTTAACCCCGTTAAATGAATTCAGTCTGCCTCTGTTACAGGTTCTGCAGTGATGACATGTCAGGGGAACTTGTCTCAGGGGGATGATGGTCCTTCGGCGGTTAAACCCTCGGCTTGAAACACAATATCTGCACGGAGACCTTCACTAATAAAGCCTTCCTGCATATGAGTCTGGGCCGGCCTCGCTGCCTGACACAGCATGACATACTGCAGGCCTCTCAGAGAGTGCGTCACGTGTCAGCTCTCCCAGAGCAGCAGTCTGGTTCTACTCTGCTGTGCACCACTTTAAAGTATGTTTTGTGTTGTCTGAGCTGTCAAAGAACAGGTGTAGACTTACAAAGACAATAGCACAATCTGTCCTGGGACTGCACACCTGTCTGCCAAAAGACACGCACAAGGAGGTCAGAGGAGCATGTTTTACCTCATGTCAATCACTGCAGATGAAATAGTAGCTCTTGTAATACTTCATGATTTGATATTAAATTAAATTATTTTTAAGTCGGCTGTCAGCAAGTAGCCATATTTCCAGAACAGTTTAAAGTGTGGAGGATGGGATCTGGAGGAGCAGTCAGACTGAAACAAACAGTGATTGCGAGGGTGTTTTTGGGGTAAATTGTTACTCAGCCACCTGGGATCAGATCTATCACACAGGCCGTATGCTGGGACCGATAAGCCACCGACACTGAGAAGTTATCTCTGTCGTTTGTTTTCTTTGTGAGCTGACTTCAGTGAATTACCATTAAGAGCCCTGATTGAAACGGAGAGATGGCCTAAAGCTCAAAAACAATCAGAAATGGGATTGATTTGGCCTGACCTAATCCATGAAGAGAAGTGATAGCAATCTACTTTTCATCTGCTGTACACCTGATAGGAGACAAAACTCCAACAGCTGTTTCTGCCTGAAAAGCCAGACATTGACAGAGTTGGCCTTATCTGTAATGGAGGACAGATTGAAAGGCTTTCTCTGACATGTTTGGTACCGGTAAATAATAGCCGTCTCCTGGATACAGATATGGTTCGAATAAAAAGGAAAAATCGACTCATAAATTCAACACTTGTTGCAAATGCTTGAGTTGATAACAGAAGACATACTCATAGATTATAAATGGAGCTCTAGTCTCGTGTTTTTGTTACGCGAGAGCTGAAGCACTGAATGTGTCACACGTCCAGTCTAAAGTTACAGTCATACAATACTTTAATCCCAAAGCACTAATGACTGGTGGGGGTTGTTTTTTTTTCCAACAAAGCTTCCTTTTTGCAGATTTTTTTTAAATTTAAATCCACCTCAGGAGTGTGGGCACATCTAAGAGCAGAGGGAAAAGCACCTGAGACCACCAGTTGTCCTACCCCAGTGGAGAATCTGTCTGGATTTGATAACACTTCTTACAACCTTTGACACATTTGCTTTTCGGTGTGTGTGTGTGTTTAAATTGAAACTCGTCTGGAAATATTCTCCCGGGGTGTCTGCATTGCTTTGGCTTTCATGGACGGACTTTCGATGTAGAAGTAACATCACTATTTCAGACTCAATTCATAATTCATTCAGGCTGACTCGCTGCGAGCTAAAACCTTTAACTGGGACTTTCTCATGACATTTTCAGTCATCCGTCCTTCACAAACCCACAAACTTTATTCAGTGCAAATCAATATGATAAAGATCATGTGACGTGATGCAAAGCTGAAGACGGGCTACTCAATGGGCCCGGTGGTGAGATCTTCTTTTCTCAACTGCTCAAGAATTCACTTTGGACCTCAACTCCATCTGCTGTTGAAGATCATGTGATATGAACGAAAGCTGCTCAACTAAATAGTGGTGAGATTGTGTTTCCACGACTAATATTGTTCTTCAGAGGTCTATCATAAGCATCATGCATCTGTTTAAGCTCCTCATCTGTATATTCTTGTTCATTATAACAATAAAAATGGCATTTATGGTTGGTGTAACATACTGTGTTCAAATTAAAATTTCAGATTGAGAGTCAAAGTCATATTTGAGACATCTTTATCCTGAACAGTGACGACAACCTTTTGATTATGGTGGAGTGTTTCCTTATGAACTGTTGTGGATCTCACAGGTGTTTTACTCTTTCATTCCAATTTCTCATCACCTTGTCAATCAACTTGTTCCCAATGACTTCCTATCATTGTTTTCTATCTTTCTCTTGCTTTCTGTACCTTTGATTTGTGCTTTTTAAAAATACAAATGTATTAAAGGCCCAAAAGTGCTCAACTGCAGCTCTGTATATTTTCGCTTTACACAGTATGGAAATTTCCTGTAACTCCTAAAATAAAAGTAATGTTTTTTTTCTTCATATGACATTTATTACACAACTATTGTTTTGAGAAGAGATACGTTACAATTGTTACTATATGGTTGTTTCTTATAGTAGTTAGGTATTCCTTGTATGTAAACAATGTTGGTACCACAACCAGCTCCAACATTAAAGTACCGGGTACAGATTTCTATTAATGCATTCTTTATAAAGAGATGACAAGTTGTATCATATCAATTAAGACTTTAAATAGAGAGAGGAGCCATTTAAGTTTAACCAGTACTTCTAATTATGATACTGAATCACATTTTCCTGATAATTATACACTTTAACTTTAATCTTGTCAATGTAATGGAATATTTCTACATTGTTGTTTTGCTACTTCTTCCACCATGGACTGTAAACCTCAGACAGACACTGTCAGTGTTTAGCTGCTCTCACACTCACAGTAAACTCAGTGTTGAGCACTCATGTCAGAAAAGTTACAGCAAAAAAAAAAATAAACACCAGAGCACTTTAATAGTTAACTACACTTTTATTGTATCTTGTCCAGCCAATGAGAGGTTCCAGTTTCATCCCTCACAAGTCCAGCGAAGCACTGAGCGTCCAGCAAACAACCAAACATGTCGCCACTGCCACCAGTGACGCTATCAGATCCTCACCATGCTCTGGACTGCAGCACCATTTCTGACCTTGAATGAGTGAGATTCCTTTTGTCAGTTTAATGCTCTCTCTAGAATCCTCTCCCCAAGACTTCATATGAAATGACTGGCTTAACGTAACTTAGCAGCTAATGCACACACTAGGCTACACTGTCTCTGACGTAAAGGGATGTCACTCAGGAATGGAATGAATTTCATATGAAGCTGAGAGGTTGACAAGTTGCGATGATGTTGATTTGTTGCAAAAGTAACGTACCGCTTCGTCTCCAGTGTCATGCATGATAGAATGTAGAGCCGCTGCTTCTTCCAAAACGTCAAAAGTTCAAGGCATTCATGCATTTGGCAACTCTTTTCTATGATTTTTGTCGCATGAAGGAAAACTGGGAAAAGCACTTTGTGGTGGATGATGATATAGTCACAATGTCGAAGCATGGCCAGCATCAGTCACACAAGAAATGACTTGGAGGAATTCAAAAACGCAGCGTTTCTTCTCTTCCATTCGAGGGAAATAAACTTTTGAAACTGTCCAACTAGAGGTGGATCATGACATACAGATATGATAATCATAAACAAAAAAACGACAACAGTTGATAATGTTTATATATCTCTGATCACATGTTAATAAAAAGACAAAGAAAATGCAGTGGAAAAAACGTTTCGATGGGCTCTTGCCCCTGACACGGATGGCTTTACTTCTCATCTGTTTATGCCAGATAATTCAAAATGAAATTAGCTTACTGTTATAGGAGCTAGGCAAGTAGTCTCATTAGAAAATATAAAGTAGCCATAGATGAATCATTCATTGCACGCTTATTGAAGGGCACGAGCGTCGCTATACCGTTCACCGTAACCGTTCATAGTGACTCTCACACAAAGCCATTAAGGAGTGAGATGAGGTGAAAATGTTTACACAAAATAAAATGCCAACATTCTTTACAAAGCACCAGCTGGTACCACGGAGGTCCTAATGATACAGTCAAAACAAAAGTTGTTTTTTTTTAGTTTAGGTTTAGTTCAGCAATGACTCAGATGTTGTGGCAAAGCATTGATCACTGCACACGTATATACATGTGTATAATATTACCAGAGGTGACAAGCACTAACAAATAACCTCTGTCACACGATGTTTGCTGCAGGTCGAAACATTTGAAACTGCACGTCTGATATGTTGTTCAGTTTTACTTCCTGCTTTTATGGTTTGCTTTACATTCAACTTTGCAAATATGGAGCCATGTGCCTAAACTCCTAAACACTTATGATCCATTTCAGACTTCCCTTCCATGTAACAATGTTGACATGCACACACTATGAAAGTGGTATTCTATCAGTAGAGCTCGTGTTATGATTTGTAAATAAGCATAGATTGCAGGTCAACCCAATCTATTTCTCTTCAAATAACATCCATAGTTTATTAGATAGCAAAAACAATACCATTTATTATTGTATATATTATTTCAGCATGACATAAATTGCTCTTTCCTCTCTGATGTTTGTTGTTAAAAAGCAAGTATGAAAGGATAAGATTTGCTTTGACTGTATCTCTGTAACAAAGGGTGTGCTTCATTTTAAAAAGAAAATAGAAGACGATGCCACTGAACTGCAAGTAAAGAAAGACATAAAGATATTTTTATAAACTCGTACACTTATCCTTCACAGCGACCTGTTTACATTTTTACTATGGAATGCACTGTAGGATAGCTTCTCCTTAAATATCACAGATCAAATGAAGCCCACATTTCTGAACAAACAGCAACTTCATATATGTAAGAAAGGTCGGCTTCATGATGTAGGTAGACTTAACGGACAAGCTAGTGTAATGTTCACACTTTCAGTAATGATTCATTTTAAAACAAGTTATTGTGAAAGATAAGTTCAGTTATTTATATAAGGCATATTTAAAAAGTTGACAGAACTCCTTTGACACTCCTCCAAAGAGGCCTTTTGTGGATAAATAAGGGATGTCTTTGTCCATTTCCAATTTTTCCATTTCTGTGTCTATTTTCACAAACATATTCCAGAGGGGAAGAGCTGGAATATGACGTCCCGGGTTACAGGGGTGGAACCAAAAGATTGTGGAAAGAGTCCCAAAGTCGTCGTAGGCGTCAACCTATAAAGAGTCTCCTTCACGGGAAGTGAAGACAAAGATGGCGCTACATTCAGAGGTTCAGGCAGAGGGGAGCCAACAGGAGCAGGGAGAGTACGCTGAGAGACGGGGCGGACATGACACCTCCACCTGGGAGACACAGAGACAGAGGTATGTCAGTTTTTGCTTAAAGAACACCTGAACTGACGGACAAATTTGCTGTTGCTTTGAGGAAAAACACATTTTGTCTCTCGAGTGTCCAGCTCTCATCCATCAAACTAAAGACCATGTTTGGTGTGTGAAGTGTGATATTATACCCCATCTGTGTGGAGATCACCCTAAATGCCCCTCCATTTGTCAATGCCCTGCATTTGAAATTCCCCACGGCTTAAATTCCCGGGTCTGTGAAATCAAGCTGTCAGATGGGTCTGGACTGAGCGATAAGGGATAAGGAAAACCACGGGAGGGGTTTCCTCGACTCATCAAGATCAATTACAGAGGCTTAAGGCCTCCTCCATCCAGTCAGCCTACCTGTCAGTCCATCAGCCAGTGAGGGGATCGAGTCAGGGGGCTATCAAGGCTTTAGTCACGGATCGTAAGGTTTCCCATCTTAGCCCTCCAATATAAGGTATGAAATCTGAAGTGTCAGCTCTGCTTTGGCCCATGGGAACCCCAAAAGCTGTGACAAATGATAACCCACCGCCAACTTTCAACCTGGCATAATCTCACTAGCAAATGGCAGGCCAGGAATGAACCATCACAGTGTGTCACCTCAGCACTATGGATTTAAAATGAGGACAGATGACTGAAGGCTTTCTTTATTTTTCGATCCCCTGATGGAACTAAACCTGGGTGAAAACAGAACACAGTAGTATTTTTCTCTCACTCACTAAATTCGATGAACACTGAAATCATTCAGTGTTCATCGAACAGAAAACACAATTAGTGTAGTAAGAGGATACATCTTTACTAAAAAGAAAAAAATGTAAACACTGAATAAAACTCAGGCACCTAAATTGTACCATAACCCTCCAGAGGTTGCTTTTTGGTTAATTTTGCAGACTTTCTACGCATTCATACCCAAAACAAGTATCATGAATGTTTTTCAAAATACTACATTACACTATTCAGAATTGTTAATGAAGGGGACAAGTAAATGGTGGATTCTCATGTTACCTGTGATGCTGATTTGTGCCACAGCCCCGTCTCCCCCCTCTGATTGCGCCCGGACCTCCGCCACATAGATCTTATTTACGTACAGGGGAAGGTCTATGTTCCGCCTGGTGGTTGTGTACAGATCGCCTTGGGAGTGGCCCTGCTCCCTGTACAGCACCTAGGAATACACACACACATCATCTATAAGATACGTAAGGTGCCCAGCAGCTACTGCTTCAATTGAGAGAGGTTATGAATAAGTGTAACAGTAAATGTAGAACTGTACTCACTTTATAACCTTCTATTGATGCCTCGTTAGCAAGTGGTTTCACCAGTTCCCAGGCAATATTTACATACTGGCCCTTCAACTTTTTACCAATTATTTTGGGAGCTCGACTTGGAGCTGTTAAAAGAAAGAAAAGGGGTAATGAATAACAAGTATATTAAAATGACTCGTGTTGCCGTTACCCATGCATATCCCTGGATTAAACCGCTTTAAAGCACAACATACGGGGTCTCTTGGTGTGGATCTGGAGGTGATCGCTGGCCGGCCCGTATCCTGCAGAGTTGTAGCCCCGGACCTCAAGAAGGTAGTGGGTGTCTGGCTTCATACCTTCCAGCCTGGTGTGGTTCTCACTGCCGGGTACCACCACCCTCTGGGCCTCACCTTCACTGTCATTCCTCCAGTACTTCACCTGGGACACAGATGGACAGAGGTGAGATGCCTAGGATCCAACACCAGCTTGGTGTGCACACCTTGCTTTTACAGCACTTTCAAGAACTGATTTAAAGCAGGAGGAAGGGGAAAATGTCATAAAAAGCAAAGTAAATAAGATGAAAAATAAATGAGAATTTGAGAGAAAAAAATGACAATTATCTTTAGAAGAATTGCCTATTATACACTTCATATATAAAACATTTCCCACTGACCTGGTATCCATCTATATTGCTCTGGGAGAGAGGCAGCCACCACACGACGGCGTCCGTGGCAGAGAGAGCTTTGCCGTCAACCCTTACAGGAGCTTCAGATGGAGCTGATGAAGACACAGAGTACAGTTCGGTAAACAGGTTGCAGTAAGAAAACCCATTTTCCTAGAGTCCATCAGAGCTAATCTTCATATTGACCACGCAAAAATCCAACGTACCATATTTTATATGTATGAGCATATTTTGCGCTAATGGAGCCATGACCATAAACTATCTAGTGTTCATTTTGCTGTGTCTATTGGCCTTAATGATCCCATTTTTCTCTCAGCGCTGCTCAGGCATCATTTTAGTAATGTGAATTAATCACTATACGGTACAAGGGAGGTGACACAAATCTCTCTTGGCCCACATTCCTTCACTGGGCACTCTGACACTTTTCCGAGACTTATTGGGCGGTTTTACACTTTGAGTATAGGCTGCCCCTGCCAAGAATCTGTCCTTGAATGTTAAATTGTCACGCTGGCCCTCTAACCAGCAGCCCATCACGTCACAGTCATTGTGTTGCACAAAGCAACAAATGCACAAAAACAATACCGCGCAACCAGCGTGCAGACGAATAGGAATGGTCACAACCCTGGAGGCAAAGTGCTTCTGCAGGCTGAGCTATAAAGTCAGAGACACTCAAACAAACGGCAACGGGGGCATCTCTGTAACCCATCACGTCTGGGTCCCCTGTGGTTATCTGAACTGTCTGTCAGTGGAAGTTAATAACTAGGCTAAATGCTTTGCATCCTTGGGCGAATTATCAGCTTTCTGGTTCATGCTACATAGATCATGGTAATCCCCCCGCGAGGGAAGACGGAGAGAGGGGAAGATAGGTTCACTTTCAAGGGGTATTAAAATTCCTCACAGCTATACATGAGAACTCCTATTAAATGAGTCCTACTCCATTGAAAACCCTGCTTGTGATAAGTAGCTGACACTGACAGATTGAAATAGCAGAGTGTTGGCATATTGAAGAACTCCTCATTCTCTGTGTTACCGAGAAAACAGAAGCAGGTTGATCTGTGACATCGTTTTGAGATCAGTTTGCCACATTTTCCCTTTTTTTATGCTTCAGCGTTGAGAGCTGCAGATCTCTTCAGTGCTTACCGTCTTGTGCAGAATAAATGGAGGCTGTTAGGCTGAAGGGTCCCTCTCCTTTGCTGTTGAACGCTTTGACTTTGACTTGATACTCTGTCATTTGAGGGATGGAGGAGTCTTTGTAGACGTAGCGCTTGGCCTCGGGGTCAGATACTGTCACCCTCATCCACTGGGATCCATCTTGTGGTTTGAAGGCCACAATGTAGCCAAAATCAGGCCCGTAGTAGTACTGTGGCTGGACAGGCTGATGACAGAAACATCAACATTACTTTAATGTGGCAAATGTTTTATCTAAAACACCTCTCAAGCCTGCGTATCCCTAAGGTTAATTAAACGTAATCCGTCAATCAATATCACTTATGCTTGTGCTGTATACTAGGATTAACAGCAAGACTCAAAAAAGGACAATTCCACTTATAGTGTTGGGTAAAATGACTGCATTCTGTGAGTGATACGCAAGAGTTTAGAGTTGTGACACTTTGCTGGCTCGTCCCTCTTGATCTGTCCTCACGTCTCATTTCCTTTGTTGGCACACTCTTGGCTGGCTTTATTCTCATCATCATATTTCCAGTAAGACATGCCTGCACTTAGGCACCGCGAACCTATCTCTACACGCAACGTCTCATCCTCCAGCTGCTGGAGAACTGAGAAGCCAATGCTTCAGTCAAGCTAAAGGCAATTTACCTATGAGAGCTAATTCATCAACGGCTGCAGCGGGGAAAATAGAAGATAATGATTCAGTTCAGGCATTGATTTTTGTTAATAGTGATTGTTTTTGTTTGGTGTGAAGTATGAGACTATTCAATGCTTCAGGTCCTCTGCTCATCTGTTGATGTACTACGTTCTTGTGTTCCAAAGTGACTGGAAACTTATCAATGGCTCACTTTAAATTCATGGACCACTTTTATTTTGTATCGTCAAAATTTTGGCCCATATTACCAAAACATTGATCAAAGTTGAAATAAATGCAACTGGAGTGATGAGCGTGTGACGATCCATTCTCTTTCTTTTTTTATGTCTGCCTGTGAGTCAGCACCTCACTGGAATAGATGTGCGTTTTCCCCTCATTGTTGAAATGTCTGTTTATTTTTCATTGTTCTGGCATGTTATTTCTTTCCTCTGTGAAGCAACAGTGCTCTAAAGGTTATTATTGTCACTAGAAATTGAATACATTCTGATTTAGAATTAGCTCGTGGTGAGATAAGGGCGGCATGTCTCCTTTCTGTGAGCTTTAACATGAGCCCTGTGGAAGGTCCAGACCTACCGTCCACGTGACGGTCAGTTCTCTGCTTGTTCCTCCACCGCCACCGACGTCCGAGGGCGCCACCACAGGAACTACAATGAGACAGCAGAACTCTGAGCCCACATGCTAAGAATCCACACAAACATCGCCAAACCCACACAGGCTGTAACCTATCCCTGGCAGCAGTACTGAAACATCCTTCCTCTGCAAATATAATATCGATGTCTTGACCTGTGCCAAATGCAACACCATTATGTCAATGCGGGAGCCTTGCCACTAAAGGAGGCAAAGGTCTTCTTGTTTTGCCTCGAGTCTAGTAGCTCACTCTCAAATGAAGGTTCTTTTTTTAAGAGAGGTCACCGTAGGCCTGTGATTTCCATTTTATAATTGAATTTCAGTATACAGTTTCAGCAAAGTGCTCATTTGTAGAGGTTTGTGTGGTGAGTTTGGCAGCATGCTTCTACTGTAGGAAGTTCAGATTGATGGGATTTCTGCTGACTCATTTCTACAGCGATACTTAACATAAGTAAACAGCGCCATAATTGAATGATGTAGAATAAATATCAGGATGGAAAGCTAGACTGTAGGACCACATTTCCATGGCATCTTAGGTTACTCTGAGTCTTCCTAAGTTATATGTACCAAATGTTAGATCCAAAGTCAGGACATGATCTTACATGCTTCCAGGGTTTTGTCTTTCGGTGACGGGCTGCTTGGCTCTCCTGTCCCCAGAGTGCTGGAAGCTATCACTCTGAACTCATATTCTATCCAGGGGAACAAATCCACCACTGTGGCCATCTCTGTATTCCCCTCTACATCTGCGGGAGCTGGAGCGAAAAACACAGATTTCATTTTACAAAGCCAAAAGTGCAGGGTTATACAGCGCTGTAGTGTAGGTTGTGCTTTCCCTCTATTTCACAAAAATATCTTTAAAACAATAATGAAGTTCCATTTTCAGAATACATTCCTATATTTCAAATCCTCGACGCATGACAAAATTCTATTTTAGCCATCTTTAAGAGGCATTAACCACTATGTAGGCCTACAATATTACTGTGGCATGACCCAAATTATTATAACACTGGAGCCAGCTCAGCATTACGCTAGCAGTGTTTATTTGACCAACTAGTGTGCTGAAGTTCTCACATGTAGTGGCATTCTTCCAGACATCCTTTGAGAAGGAGTCCCTGTACTGGATGGTATATTTGGAGATGGGGTTGTGGTTGTCTGCTCCACGGCTCCACTGCAACGTTACACTCTTGTCAGTTTTGTTCACCACTCGCACCCCACCTGGAGCACCGGGGGGACCTGGGGTAAAGACGAGAATAGGAGACAAGTTAAAAGTGTTGTTCGATGGATGATGAATAAAAGTGGGGCTGCACAGTAGTGTTGAGAACAGTGACACTGTCCCCTCGGCCTTCTCAAGTTAAAATCCCCACAAGTAGCCACTTTGACTTGTCCCTCAAATTGTGGACAGACAGAAAGTGTGTGTAGCGTTTCTGAGGAAATTCTTAGCAAAAGTCATGAGCCGCGAAACAACGTAATACTTCAACACCAATCTCCTCCGTCTGATGCATATGAAACACAGCACATCAAAGCTCTTACATTTTCTCTTTTTAGTCTCTTCTTTAAAAGACGCCAGCAAAGACAGATGTGGATTACAGCATTAGAACCCATTAACATACATGAACTAAGGCTGAAGCAAAAGCTCCTGAATCCAGCGTTTCTCTTGGTCCTCCTGCTCCCCTCGATTCTTCCTCTGGAACATAAAAATGGCCTAATTGAAAACCCAGACTGTGTTAAAGTTAGCCTCCCAACCCACAGCCTCAGAAATCAGCCAGGATTTACTTTTTCCAAGTCATGAATATGAGCCGAGACAAGTGAGGCGATTAGACATAGCTGGACAGGCCCCTAAGCTTCCCCTCTCCTCTACAAGTCAGGAGAGAAAGTAAAGTAGTGAAAATATTTAGGCTTTGTACAATTCAGTGTCAGGGATGAAATATTGTACAGATTTCCCGTGTCTGCACAACACTGTGTCATATGGATGCTGGGCACAATGTGTTTAAACTGATTAGCTTCAGCGCTTTAAACTAACTGACATCCTTCACTGCCAAGAACCAAATTGAATACAGCTTACGAATAGTTTTCCCAATTCACAGACAATTACATAAACACAGCCACATTTCAACGCTGTTCCAGGCAAGCCTGGATTACATTACGCTACAATAACACACACGCCCGTCATATGAAAACAGCTCTTCTCCCTATATCTCAAATCCCCACTAATAACAAGCTACAGGTGCAGAGCTGTGTTTTTAGCTCGGACAATCTCCCGAAGCAGAGCTGCTTCCTCGTCTGCCGTGATAAATGGCCGTCCTTCATCTCTACCTCGCTGCAACCCGGACTGCTGGCATTTGGCACTCCATTAGGAGCGGCCCAGGGCCTGTGTTTTGGTTCCACTCTGGGAAACGTTACAGTCAGCCGCTGTGCTTTCTCCTGGCCATCTGTCAACACCTGCTCAGAAAGCAGCAGCGGTGGCAGCACACCCAGCGCACAACAGGGATCACTGGCAACCAGATCACTGCTAGAGCTCTTGGGTTCCTATCTGAAGAGACCCTTTGTCCACCAACACTGGGCCCCGTTTCAAGAGCCGAGGTCAGGCTGTAAGGCAAGCTCCCACTCATCGGGAAGTTAGGGCTGAAAACAAGCTGATGAATCATCCAGGAGGTGAATTACAGTAAGTGACAGGCGGCGCACTGCGGAAGAGCGGCGGTGTTCATTTTGTGCGTGTTGATATCTGTATGTGGCTGGAAGAACAAGTGCTGAAATCAGCAGCTCTCCGTATCAAAATATTGTGGTGAAAGATAGAAATCTATGATGTCCTACACACTTTAGTCATCAAATACTTATTACATGACATTACACAACGAACAACCACAAACATACTCGTTGCTGTACTGTCAACAGCTCTCAGGCTACCCTATAAAAAGCGCTACTTTATTCAGTTCTAATGAAGACAAGTGGAGGCTGACACTCTATTCAAAACACTTCATAATAACACAGAAGCATTGCTTGCCCCATTCAGTTAAACTAAATCTTTCAACTGTTTCTAATTAATCAACCACAGCAACAGCTTATCAAATTAACTACATTTATATACTTTGCCTGGCTGGACACAGAGAGGTTTTTTGATAAATCGCGCTCTCTCTTTTGCTGTCCTTTGCCCCGGAGTCTCGGGGTCGACAGATCGTCTACGGTCTGGTGACTCTGGAAAGATTCATTTCTCTTGAAACCCATGTTGGATACAGTACTTGTGTTATCTCCCTCCGTCTCTTCCCTCTCTTTTGTTACACGTAGGGTTTGACAACAAGGAGTTGGGGAAAAATTTGAATGAGTAGTTTAGAAATATGTGTCTGAGGAACTGTGAAATTCTTTTGTCTTGTGTTCAGTTTAATAAGCTCTATGGAACTAATGCCCCTGAAAACTAAGCTTTAAATCTTAAGTATTTCTCTACAACATTAAATATTCACAACTGTCAACCATTAAGTTTGAAAAAACCTCTTAATACTTATTATTTTAAGCAGTTTAACACCAACAACTTCATTGGGACCGTGTGGGCGTAGCTCAATCAGATTTGAAGACAGTACCCAAACAAACCACAGTGAAGAAGAGCACAAACAAAACACAAAATACAGAAATCTGTCATGTAAAATAACTAAAACTGTCGGACATTTGACAGAGAATAGTGTGTTCATGTTGGATGTCTTAAGAGCCTTCGAGACATTTTTTATACATGACTGCATGTGTGATTGTGCCGCTCATGACTCACCCCTGACGACCAGGTGGGCAGAGGCGGTAACATTGTCGATGGGGGTCTGTGCAGTGCAGGTGTAGCGTCCAGCATGCTTCAGCTGGAGGTTCTTAATCAGTAGCTCGCCGTTTGAGCTTCCATTCTGCAATAAACAACACAGAAAGACTGAGTTATCCAACTTCAACATGAACTGGACGTAGGCTTCAGCTCAAGGGCGTCACCTCTGCTCCTATGAAGAAATCTCAACCTCCACACAGTGTTTGCACTCTAAAAAAACCTTCCTAAAAAAAGTCATGACTGCATAGAAGTCGCAGATTGAGACTCAAACTTGCTTTGCTAATACCACACAAACAGTATTAAGTAGAACTGGACCACATTTTTTACGAGGGGAAAATCCTCCTTGTGTACAAAAATGTGGTATCATCAATCACAATCATAACAGTGTTTGCCTAGTGGGCAGAGGGGCAAATAAGAAATGCTAACCGCTAAGTGATGGTTAGAGCTGCACGAAGAGAGAGAGTAGGTCATGTCAACAATAATGGATATTAGCGGAAATTGCTATTAAATTGATATACAATGTACTATTCCTCTCAGGAAGGAATGTGAAATGGCTTTTAGAGTCCTATTTATTTAAAGCAGGCTGTACTTTTCCATTTCAGGTATTCCAATAAAACTACTAGACATCAACCCGAACTGAAATATGATTTGACTGGATGAACTCCAGACTAGAGCAGAGATTTGCGAGAGGGGGCAAAGTTAGGGCTATCAAGCTAAACTTTGATTATTCATGTTTCATTTCCCTTTAAAATACTTCATGAACCAACATGTTGTCTCACCGGGGTGCGTTCATAATGGAGACTGTCCTTGTGTGGGTCAATGACCCGGCCATCCACGGACCAGATGAAGGTGATGTCCAGGGAGCGGTCATGTGACGCGGCGCACTGCATCCTGGTGTTCTCACCCACTTTAACGTCAGCATTGGACGGTGCCAAGGTGATCTTTGTGGAGTCTGGGGAGAAACACGGGAGGACGAGGGAATCAGTGACGATGAGAAAGAGATCAGTCCAGCCGCTGAAACGTCATTTAGGTTATTACAAATGTGATGATATGGATGAAAATAACAGATAAATGACTTGAATGAAAAAGGGGATCTTGAGCAGTCACATGGTGGACAGCTCAATGGTGAAGTATATGGTGTTAACATGAAATAGCTAGAATTCTTCAATGTGCTCAAATGTCCAGAAGAGGGCAGAAAAGAGCTTTACATCCAGAACCACATGAGAGCAACAGTAACAAACAGTTTGACAGCTGAGATTGCATGTTTAAAGTAAAGAAATCACAAGAAAAAAAACTCATATCAATGTTATTATTCGCTATTCAATCAAACTATCTCAACGGGTTCATAACTCAAGTCCTCTCCTCATTCCTCATTGAACAGTGTGTCTCATCACATCGGCTCTAAAGCAATCCCGTCTCGCCTTCTGTCCTTGGAGGATGACTGAATATCCACCAGTAGCCCACATACTGTCACTCTGCTCAGAGGGATAATAATTCAACAGCAGAAATTTGGAGGTCGGGACTTTAGTAGTGGGAGTGACGGAAATGATTGGCAGCGAAGGCTGACATCGGTCAAAGCAACACAAGCTGTCCTGGATTACAAAAAAAGAGGTATGAAGAGAGTTATCAATTAAGCATTGTTCATTAGCTAGAACTTGCCTGTAACCACCAGAGAGCCCGTACTGTTAGCCTTGCCCCGGTCGTTCTCGGCGAAGCAGGTGTACCGGCCTTCATCTGCTCGCGTCAAGTTGAGGATCTCCAGGCTCCCATCCTCCCAGATGAACGACCTAAAGAGAAATCGGAATTAATTTCTTCCACACTGACAAGAAAGAGCTATGCGATATGAAATATTCAGCGCGATATGAAGGTCAAAAGTCTGGCGTATGTTATTCCATAGATATGTGGATAATGATAAATGATGAAAGTACTCTGAATCTTCGCCTGGCTCCCTAATGGGATATATGTTTTTACAAGAAAGACAAGTACGTCAACTTGAATTGCGCTAAAACCAAGGCGGCAATGTTTGATTAATTTTCATCGGCATATTTCATATTCATGCATGACAAATAGCATCGTGCCAGATGCCCGTCACTACTCCACACCACGACAGCCGCCATAGAGATTGTTACTAAGCATATGCTGCATAGTAATTTGGCCACTGCTCCTCCTCTATGCGAGTCACCACTGTGGTGCATGGGGGTGTGTAGGTTGGGGGGGAAGGGTTGGGTGGCTTAGAGCTCTTAGATTAGGCTTGATTTGTCAGTGAGGAGGACATGACAGGGGTTTACACATGCAGTCTGTCCACGTTGATGAGCTTGAGAATGAGTTTAATGTCAACTACTGACAGACAGCAGAGCAGAGCAGTGCACAGCAATCACTGACAAACAACAACACTAAAGATTTTCTGGCGCAAAGTAAATTTAAGAGCTCTAGAGCTTATTTAGATCCCAAAAAACACTAAACTGTGTGTGTCAAGCCCCTCTCAGGAGACATCACATTCTCAGTTGCTCGTCCTCGTGTTAACCCAAATGTGTCTCCCAGCCAGAGAAAGGTGGATGAATATTTGCATTAAAAACTACAGTAGAAAGGAAAATTCATGATAAACCAGCCTCTCTAAATGAATACATATCCATACAACATTTACAGATCAGAAGACAAAAAGGAAGTGTGCCATCTTGTTAGGAGACTGCTCACCTGGTGGAGTTGTGGAGCAGCTCGGTGTCTTTGCTCCAGGAGAAGGTGGGCTTTGGAGCCGCTTTGGGTCGACATTCGATCACCACCCGGCCGTTTTTAGCTGCCAGGACTCTCTTCACAGGGTTGTGTTCAAACGTGGGCGCACAGGCTGAGGAGGGACAGTTTGGATTATTCATCACAAACATAGCAGAATATGCATTGACTGTAGAAATGCATGGTCCATTTTATATTAATAAAAATGTGTAGTGTGCTGATCTACTATGGTACTTTGGATGACCAAAGTACATTTTTAGACAACATTCTCAAGTTATGTTTTATTCTGCTGTGAAATAGTTGTTTTTCTGTATAAAATCTGACGTTGCACTCCATAAATCCTAATGAGCTCCAATTAGCCAGCTTGAAACTTGACCTTTAAATCTCTAATGTGACTGCAGCCAAAGTGTGACTCACCGTACACACGCAGTTCAGCATTGGCATATATGACTCCATGGTGATTCTCTGCAATGCACTGGTACATTCCTGAATCATCAAACGTCAAGCTGCTGAACCTCATCTCTTTCCTGTAAGACTGTGGAAAATAACAGTGTGAAATTAAAATATCATCGCATCTACATTTAACCACATTCATACAGTTTCAATTATATTAGGAAGCAAATGATTGAAACCATTGTTGACATCCACAGAGATACAGAAGACAATTAGTTTATTTGACTGGGAGAGGATTTCATTAATACATAATGATTTATCTAGCCGCATATATCAAACAACCTCCCCCACTCGGCTGCCTCTAATTGTTACTCTCTTGGGTATTTTTTAGGCCTGATGACAGGTGTTTCTATGGAGGGTTACACAACCCATGCTGGCACACACTCAATACCAACAGGTACTTCCTCCTGACATGATGTGTACCCACAGTGCCAGCTTCCTGTCACTGCTGTGCTACTGTAACAACCCTGGGATGCACACTGTGCACCTCACAGTGATGCTAAGACGGGCTCTGCTAATATTACAGCTAGAGCTAAATTAAGGTTCATGAGACAAGACGTATATTATTAGTTTCAATTTTACCGGTTGTCCGTTTTTCAGCCAGCGGATGCGTGGCTCAGGTTTGCCGCTGGCTATGCAGGACATAGTGTAATCCCTGCCGAGGTCCTTCTCTGTGCTGCTGATGTGCTCCACCCACTCAGGAAAAGCTGCAAATGAGCGAAATCAGAGTTACAGTGTAAATCTAATCTAAGCAAACTAAAAAAGCTGCTGAATAATATGTGATATGATACTTGAGGCATAACAGTAGGTGTTAGAGCTAAAGAAAGAAAAACCTGAGAAATTATACGAGGCATTGGAAAGAACTAAGGGCTGGTAAATTTACCCCACGCAGCAGTGTCCAGAAGATAACAAATACAGCTGATAAAGAATAAGCCTTACATATGATGAACGAGTGTATTCCCTGTTATACACTTTATAAGAAGAAGGCTGACATGAAACACTTCTTACCTTCTACAGACACACGAGCAGCGTGGTAGTCATTCCCTTTAAAGTTCATCACCTCGCACTGATAGATGCCCGCGTCTTCAAACTGCACATTGTACAGGTGCAGATGAGCCCCCGCCATCCGCACCTCGTGATTGGGTGGAAGCTGTCCGTCTAACTTCATCCAGCGGATCTCGGGGACAGGACTGGGAAGGGCAGAGAGAGAGAGAGAGAGAGAGAAAAATAATACACAAGGCAGGCAGGCAGGCTTCAACTTGTAATGCATCGCTGCACTCAAGTCCTCATCTTTCTGAAACATGCTTTATGAATGATTTAGCTCAGAGTCAATCTAAGGCAATCTAAGCTACAGTAAACAACATTTTACTGGGCATTAAGGGTGAACCACTGAGAGATTGATACATCATCCCTATATTTAACATTGTTGTTTTTGATAATCAATATATATGTATTGATATGCTGCATCATTTCAACTAACTTATTTAATGCCACAATAATAACAAAGAGAAACCTTTCCTCATTTCATTACTGAGCGAGCATAAAAAACCTCTGAAACTGTATCTATATTCATTTAAATTCTCCTTTGAGATCCATTTCACAACACTTGGAACTTAGAAGATAAGACTCACTGGCTGATTCCAGATTTTCATGAAACCTTTCAGTGCAAATGTCAAACAGAGGTTAGCAACGATTTCTCACACTTACTTCCCCAGAGCGAAGCATTCCAAGGTGATATTCTGCCCCACCAGAGCAGTGGTATCTGGGAACTTGACTTTGAGGTCAGCAGGGTATTTCCTGGTGAGACCTAAAAGGAATAAGAAGAAGCCAGAATCATGACTCTGGAGATAAAAACATTTCTAGATGCTAAGCATGAAACAAATAGAGGTCCCAAATGATTTTGTGATGATTTTAACCGTTGCTTGATTCAAGGTTTTGCTTAAAAGCCTCTTCTTTCATTATTTCAGTGGGTCAAATGAAACAAAAGATACTTCTTTGTAAATGTTCTTTACTCAGATGTCCCACTGAAGCACACACACAAAAAGCATTACATAACAAGGCTTTTTAGGTTAGCAACACAATGGCTGTTTCTACAGTATTTGGGTTATGACGTTTACATGGAACATGAGAGACCAGTTTATTTGCCTCCCTGTATTCCTGTTCTTTTACAGGAAGTTGTAGCGGCTCATTTCAACTGGGGTTTGTCTCTTGCAGCCTAAGTCAGAGGAGTTTGTAATTTTAGAAGGAAACCCGTAAACCCGTAACCGGGATTGTCAGGATCAAGATTTTGTGTGTGGATCTAGCTGTGCCTCTGATTTCTCAACACCTCAGCCTGTCTGTCACAGATTTACCTCAGCAGGTGGGAATGAAGACACAGTGAAGCTAATATACAGTACCAGAGCACTTACTGGTCTGATGGTTTGAATTTTTGTCATCATATTATCACTTTTATTTCTAGATCATCCTTTTTTGTATTAAGGACAAACTACTAACATAACTACATTTAATGAAACACATGCCCACACTGCACAGACTGATTGGATCCTCGGATAAGGTGTTAACATGCTGAAGTATCCAGGTTTCAATCAGGGTACTTCAGGTAGCATCCAGGTAGGTAAGGGCTTATCCTGCTTTCTGAAACCAGATTATGGTGTTTACATGCTGCATACATGGACAAGGTAGGAGCATATTTAGATGGTTAAGAATGTTTGGTGCATCTGGAGTTGATTTTTTTTCTCTTAACAGAAAATGAATATAAAGCATAAGAGCAATTTCAGAGAATGTTGCTGCATGAGGCCCTTCGTGTCCTCTCTACACATATGCAAGGCATTTAAAAAAGCCCTGACAAAATGCAAAGGTATGTTGTCCCTCCAAAACACAAACTAGTTAGAGTTAAAAACAGGACACAACATACCCAGAAGGCATCTCATAATAATGCACATATGCATGAGAGAGCCCAAACAACTGGCCGGCTCCGCTCTGATCCTGACCTCTTTGGTGGGACAAAACATTTTATTCTGTGTTAGGTAACGATAGTACTTTTCAAAACACACCTGCCACAGGTGAAGCAGGCTACAAGTTACATGATCATGAAAGTCTAAATCAAACTGATGGATTCTGGGAAGGCCACCTAGGTAAATGCTGAAATTGTCATCTAGTTTTGTGTTTGAACCTTTTACATACACACAGAGCATTAATAACTACTCCTGTGTACGCTAGTTTGCGGTCTCCATCTACGGTGCTGTTCATGTTCCAGTTCATTTAAAATTCTTGTCTAAAATGCTGGCTCTGTCTGAGAGCAAGTTTGTGCATGTCAGTTTACCTCTGAGTTAATTTGTTCCCATAAATCTAATTTAAAGAGTCAACAACAGTGGCATGACCTTATCGCATTTAAAACAAGCACTGTTGTGATGAAACACGGTGCTTCAGCAGGGACGCCAGAGAAAGAAAAAATCAATGTGCTACTTTGCTGCAGCCAGGCAGTCACTTCCTATCTTTGAGCTTATTTTTGAAACTCGTCTTTATACTCACACCTCATTTGGCTGGTAGAAGAGCACAGTCTGGATGCTATTTCTTTATCGAACACTTCTTAAACACGTCTGGCTATTATAGAGACACACACATTCAATCTCTCTGTTGTAATGCAAGATTGTATTCAGCTTAAGTGCATTTTATACATCAAAAAACATATGTACTGAAGTGAGTGGCATTGCATGTAATTAGTGTAAAATAATGTGATCAATCTGGTACAGGACAATTAAACCAACCCAGATTTTGACTTTTATGTGTTTTTTTTTTAAGATCACTGGCTGTAAAACTGAAGAAACCTGGAATCGCAAACAGCTTCAAAGTAATCATAATTTAAAGAAAGGTCAGAAATAAGCAACTGGAACGAAAATGGGAAGCAGAAAGTGAGGTACTAACGTTCAGCCAGAGGTACGAGGGGGATGTAGTTGGAGAAAACGCTCTTGGAAATGGATGTGCTGGACGCAATGCAGGAGTAATTGCCGCTGTCGGAGGAGTCCACCGTGGAGATATAGAGGTTACCCGTTATCTGGGAGACAAAATGCCTTTTGTCCGGTGGGATGAAGATGGGGAATTCATTGAGGATCCATCGGAATGACAGCTCATCTGCACAGATAGAGAAACGACAAAACGGCACCCGTCAATCAAGGCCCTGGACACACAGCCAAAGCTTTGGAAAGAAGAGGGGGATTGGATGTGGAACTGGCTCACTTTGAATAATGTGAAAACACGCAAATAAAAATAGCACAATTCTTTGGTGCTGAGGGGGATTTATTATTCAAGCTTCTATTGACCTTTCAGATGAAATCTTATAATTCTTTTAGCTGAGAGGCATAATAGAGGAATACTGTGAGCACATTGGCTTTTTGAGGTAATTCTGATGCTGTGGAGAGAGAGTTAACAATGCTTTCAGACTGCTGTGTTTGACAGATTTGCATAAGCATGAATATGGAAAATATGTGTACAGCTTTTTGGGTTGATGGCTATGGCTAAATTAACGGCAATGCTATTAAAACGCTTTATATAATGAGGCCACATGCAGACAAGCAGAAGGAGGGAAAATAAACAACAACCCTTGTAATGACATTTTAGCTTGAGCTAGATATGAGACTGATGAAAACATGTTGAATTCTTTCCATTTTACTTCCACAAGGGAGTAGAACTGAAACCAGCAAGGGGATGACTGCAAACTGAGAAGAAAAAAAAAGCTTAAAACTCATATTAAGACAGTGACAAAGTCAGTGATGTCGTTGTTTTTATACCTTAGAGGACATTAAGAAGGGCAATTCAATCCCAAGCCAACAGGGGACAAAATATATACTTTGGTTCATGTCATATAATCGGTTCATCAGTGTCATGAAATCCCCCGTGCATTAAAAAAAAGCTCACAGTAATGTCTAATGACACTCACACTTTCATTTAAATATATGGGAAATGTGCACTCTTCAGTCCCCCTGACTTGCATGGCTATGGACAACAGCAGCAAGCAGTAAACCCACTCAATCAAGCACAGAACATGACACACAGAGAGGACCAGAACTCACAACAGGGAACAGTGCAAACTACTGCGCCAACGTCCATCCACCCACTTCAATCAATCAGATGTTACCGGCTACGTGACGATGGAGGTTACACACGGCCCTGTAGGAACACTTCAGCTGAAGCACACTCAGCTGTCACATGCTGTACCTGGATAATGTGGCGGGGGAGCGCAGAGCAGCACTGCCCCCTGTCCCTCTTTGACGTACACCGACTCCCTCTCCTCCGACGAGAAAAGGTCGAGGTCTGAGAGAGGCAGAGACAAGAATCAATTGTAAGAGAGTTTCTGACTCAAGAGCTACTCAGAATCTGCTGCCATACATTCACATTTCAGCATCTCTTGTAGCTAATTTATACAAAAACCAACACTAAAGGATGCATAAAGTTCAACGACTGATTTTGAATTGAGCTGTAGTATACACATAAAAAAAGTACATTAGTCATGCTGGCATCATAAAGTTAGACCATTCACTAATTGCACTTTCCACACCACTTATGATTTGTCCCAGCTGCCCTTGCAATTTCAGTACAGCTCCAGGGCAGTTCTCTCTTAGGTCTGTATGGTACTGTACTGTACATCATCGCAGCCCAAACGGGATTCACATCTGGGTTACTTACATCCGAACTGGACTGAGGCCTCTCGGCTGATGACTGTGCCGTAGATGTTGGTAGCCAAACAGAGGTACTGTCCTACATGTTGGGTTTTATTGGGGTTGCTAATGACCAAGTTGCCTCCAACTAAACTGTAGTGGTTGCCTTGTGTATTCAAGTCAATTTCTATGTTTTCCAGCTTCCACCTGCAAGAAAAACAAATTAGGGTCAATAGAGTAGTGCATTGTGAAAGCAGTGAGCTGTAAAGTATGATATGGGAGTATATAACTACATTTGGCCCCTCAAAGCAGGTCAAAAGCTGAACAGTCTGCATTACAGTTGCTCTTTCTTGCAATCAACGTCTGCACATACTGTAAGAATTAACCAGGCTGTTCTATATCAATGACAAATTGCATGTTTTGAAAGGCATAACAGACTGTACTGTAAATGAACCCTCTTAAACACTTTATACCAGCTGTGGTCAAAGCTAATTCCTTCCCCCTCTGACATCTAATTCTGGGCTCTCTGACAGTGAAACCAATTTGGAGGATGCCAAGCAACATGATTTACATACATTTACATCTAAATTGAAAAGGATCATGCGAAGCTCTTTAAATTTAGAGTTGCAAAATGAGGTTGCGACACGGTGGCAGTGCTGTTAGTGCAGCTGCTGCAGCAACAACATCCTGTTTGTTATTCATTTTTTTCTGGCGTGTCATATTTTGGCATTCAAACAACAACAATCTAAGTTGTGCCGGTTGTTGAACAACAACACAATAATTTTGGGAATATGTATCACACAATCATGGCCTGCCGGATGGTCACACACACACACACACACACACACATAATTAACCTTTGAGGTGCATCGTGGGTTAGGATCAACATCTGTGTGACCTTGCCATTTACAGGCAGATCCTAAAACAGTCAGAAGTCAGCTTGAGAGATGACGAGCGATGGGAGGCACACGGGATGCGCACAGCGGGTAGTAATGAGACCGGGTTTAGAGGGAACATATGTTACTTGTATTTGGCAGGTGGATTGGCCCGGGCCCGGCAGCTCATGGTGATTTTTGCCTCGGGCGACTCCTCGGGGTAGATAGTATCCACCGGCTGCTCCTCAAACACTGGCCCGTAACCTGTGGCTTCTTCTGCCGACAACAAACAAACGACACAGGGTTAAATAACAAGCTGGGTCAGACCTACAAACAGGAAACATCGAGGTGTTAGAGCTCAGCGTCTGTCTGGCACTTCTGGGGCAGCTCCATCAAAAACGAGACAGCAGGGTTCAGATGTAAGACACACAAAAAAAAAAAACATATTGACTAGACTGTGAGATCGGCCCTGTAAGATATTTCAGTCTGGTTTGTGTTTTTTTCACACTCTTTTGCTCAGCAGCGAGTTTCAGAGAAATCTTGGTTGGAGCTGAAACTAATCTTGTCCTTGATTTCTCTCAAACTGCCTCTTTAAATGATGCAGAGTAATAAGCCCCTGCTTTATCCCAAATCACAACATCACACTAATTTTGACAGAGCTGTGCTCACTCGGGTGCCAGACCACAGCGAAACATTCATCTGTTGCCAGTGCATATGATATTGTTGCACGCTAATACAAATCCTGGAACTGGAAATGCTATCTTGACTTAGCATAATCCAAAACCCTTTCATACCGCATGTGTCAACCTCAGTGCCGCTGTGAAGCGGTTGCACAGGCAAATCCAGGGAGAAGAAGCTCCTTGATGAAAATGCCTTTTACTCCACCAACACACACGTACAATTAGCCCCAATTACTCATTAGAACAGACAGACATCACGGGCAGAGGCATGAATAACTCATAAACACAATGCCAGGCTATGAATAAGCAATGAGGCGAAATGTTCCCAAACGCTGATTATTCTCTCAGATCAAGAGTGTATGTAGGTGACTGCAGGAATACAAATGCGCGGCGCGTGTGAATGTGTGCACGCACACATGTGTTATTCCCCCAGCGCCTCCGAGTTCTAAGAGAGCACAGCTGACACCTCAATGGGGAGAAGTTCGCCCTTTCAGACGGTGATATCCTGCTTCCATTCGATCCCTCTCACCAGCCCTGCATTGGCGCTTTAGGATTCACTACCTCTGAAAATGTCATATTGACTGGCGGCGAGCATCCTTTAGAAACCTGAACAAAAGAGCGTTTTAACTATTTATTCCCACAAAAAACGGGATGTATTTGTGCAAAATAACGAGGAAATAAAGCAATAGTCATATACATTCCAGCAGTCAAACGTGTGTGAGTGCTTGACATTGAGGTACAGTAATCTCCGATACTATGTAGTTAAACATCAGTGAACCAGATGAATATGTATCTGCTGTAGGGGAGCAAAAGGAATTAAAAATCTTATAATCCTAACCAGTATGAAGACCGGCTTGTAACCAGGACGGCCAACCAGGAGGCAGCAATTAAGATGTTAGGAGACAGGATCCCCTCCCACTCACACACTCCAGCAGCCGTTGGTGTGTGAACGCTTGACATTGATGCAAATCCCAAGGACTCTGAATTATTGCTGGCTGAGAGAGAATCAAACATACTCTTAATGGGGCATTCTGGGGCTGATGGAAGGCAAATTAAGTTGGAAAATATGTTCTGGAAACAAGAGAGAAAGAAGAAAAGAGTGACGACGAACTGAAAGAAAGAGGGATGAGTAGAGTAAAGGGAATGTACTACAGTAGTGACCCTATTCTACCGTTGCACTCAGATTGCTCTGCATGCGTGTCTGCTAAATGCTTTGCATGTAAATATGAAATATAAATGTGGGATGGGGTGGAGGATGGGAGCCACAAAGTCTCTGCAGGCAGTGCTGAACTAGCAGTTGGAGTGAAAATGGGAGAGATGAGCACTGGTGCCGCTCCTATCCTTTCCCTGCAATGTGGGTTGTGACAGATGGTGAAGGGGAGTGTTGAAGCAGACCACATAAGGCCCACTGCCTGGAGACACACACACAGGCCTCTTACATTCTTTCTGCCTCGCTTTACCTTCTCCGTCTATCTGTCTGTAACTCTCTCTGGCTTTGCTGTGTCCTCGCTCCATCTCTCTAACCTATATCCTACTGTCACGCTCTGCTCCTCTTTCTTTACCTTTCTTGGACTTCCTTCTACATCTACTTCCATTCTAAAGGTCTCTCAACTTTCTAGTTAGCCATGGTAGCTACATGGCTCCAGGGAGCGCAACGTCAGTCGCAAGACTGAAATATTCAAACAGTTATTGGACGGGTCGCCAGGAAATTCTACATAGACATTCATGGTCCAGTATAGAATGGATCCTACGGACTTGACTGGTGATCCTAGAGTCTGGTGCCATCGTGATGTTGCCGTTTTTGTTTTTGAGTGAAAAGCCTCAACTCCTGGATAGCTTTTTATCAATATGTGGTACAGATAGTCACGATGCTCAAAGAATAAACCCTAATGACCGTTGAATGGATTGTCACAATAATCAGTAGAGACATCCATGTCCCCCTCAGGATGAACTGTTTTAACATGGGTGAATATTCCAACTAGCACCATCATAAGGTCACATTTTTATTTTGACCAACCCTGGTTTATGGAAAAACTCAAACCTAAAACCTCAACCCTACTTTACGTTTAGAGCTAATTAGAAGATGATAGCATGCTAACGTAAAACGAAAGATGGTGAAATTGTCAACATTATATACCTGCTAAAATCCAGCATTGCCATTTTGAGCTCAAAGCACCACTGTGCAGCCTCAGAGAGCCCCGACACATGTAAACTCTGAGTCTTGTTTCTCTCAAACCCTCCCACCTTCAGTTGACTAGTGTATTCTCTCATAAGCTGTTTCCAGCCTCATCCTCAACATGCCTGATATGTTTTATCCAAAACACAGAGAATCTCTTTCCAGCTCTCCGAAGCTACATCGCTATTTTAATCTCTCTGTTTCTCAGGTTCTTGTTTTCTCTGCATAAAACATTTGTTTGTTTTTCTTTTAAAAATGACTTGACTGTGGATTCCCTGAGTTGCCCGGTTTAACAAGCAAGTAATTGTTTACGCACACACACACACATACACAATCAAAGACAGAACAAACTCTCAGGGAAGACCACATCTGTACAAAAAGGGGAAGACAGATACACACACTACTCGGAGACTGTGTCTCCAGGGCTTAGTGTAAGTGATCTTCCTCTGGACAGATTTCATTATAAAACACAGACTCCTATTCAACTGAAGAACAGGTAAGTTTAGACTCTCATTTGAATTTGAGGTACCGAAAAGGCTGTTATTTTAGGAGCCTGCTATCTTCCCTAGCATCCGTTTCTAATGAGACATCAATTATTCATTGAGGTTTCAGGTATAATTTGATGTGCATGACAAAGACTTGTCGACTTGAAACGGTATAAGACACAAGAACATAAAACAACAGCAATCATCTGTCTTCTTTGTTAAATTATTTTCTTGTTTAATGTCTTCTGTCAAAATTTCCAGCTGTTTCAAGGGGTTGTACTTCCCATTTAGCAAAATAAATTTTTTTTGTTTCACATTTAAATTGTCACATAATTAATCAAAACCCCAGAGGAACTCAATCCTCTAATGAATTTAACTTTACTCACAGCTGTGTGTTTCGGCTACATCTGCTGCACGGTTTGTTTGCATGGCCTAGAGTATCCAAGTGGGACAGATAACACATTGTTTCCTGGAGGCACCAAATGTACAGTGTAGCACTAATTACCCACAAGCCCTTGAGCCACATAATGAAGCACGGTGGCCAACAAAATTGTCCCTTGGGTAGAAATCTACTCTTTAAATTTCATATGTTGAATGAATCATTTTTCTGTTTCACTGCCAGCAAAACTATATTGCAGAGGTGCGGACATGAGAGTGTCAGTGCCCGTCAGCGTGGTGCCAGCTGTGCAATCACAAGTGCTGTCAAAACTAATTATTCTCTGAAAGAGAGCAGAGGTATTCAAACAGGACATGTGAGAGGGTGAACTTGAATCCAGATGTTTTACAAGCCATAACACATTAATCTTAAACAGAGTCTGCTATAATAAATCGATGACAAGGTTTTAAAGAATCCATCACCAAGCGTTATTAAAATAACTTCATCCACTCCTCAGCTGTTCAGCATATTTATTCACTTATACTTTCTACAGAGCTGCAGCTCACGGTGTAGGGCTGTCTCAACCTGAGTTTCTCTACAGAGAATCTCACAAAAGCACCACTTTAAAACTTGTGTTTACCAGAGATGTGCTCTTAAATCTTCACATTTCAAAATCTGCAACCAGCCCTTTGCTAAAAAATAACTAAAAATAGTTATTCTACAATGAGAAAATCATTGCAAATTACTTTTTGCTGATAGACTGACGGTTGCAGCTATCATTTCACGGAGGTATTGGAAACTTTAAATAAACTGCAGGGCAGGCACAAAGCTCAACAAGGTAATGCCAACCAATTTAGATGGAAGTGGTGTAGTCTTCCATATGAAAACTGACTATATGGCTGGATAGCTGAGAAGTGATTCAAGAAGTCTGTTGTTGTAGTTCAAACTATTTAATGCGGTGAAAACTACAAACTTTTTACAGCCATCTCTCAAGTCTGCAGGGGGTGATGGTCGCTCTAACAGCAGAATAATCCGCATTAACATTGCTGCGGACTGAATGATAAGCAGTTCACTTGCAAGAACAAAAAAGGGATTCTTCATCTTCTCCCAGCTGGAGGGCCACCTACGCAATGATCTGACCTTGGAGGAGAGTGGGATCGACTGCCTCCTCCTATGGCTACGCTTTCATCTGTGTCCAAGTTTGACAAAGCTTTCAACATTTTAAAGCCAAGCAGCATTTCTCACATTTATTAGTGCTGAGTGACAAAAACTGTGGTCTATTGCATCGGACTGATGTGCGTCGCATCAAAAGCGTTCAGCAGAGTGCTAGCTGCTTCATGCTGCGTTATTTCTGGAGATAATGTCAACATGTCCAGGAGGTGACACTCCATACAGGCACACAGACTGTAAAAGTTATATACGGTCGATGCTTCGTAGAGCAGAACAGCGAGTGAATGGATAGGGGGAAAAAGAAATGCCACCAAAAAAATGATTAGTCTCCGTACTGAATCCCTCAACATTTCAACCTGCATGCAGCATCCCAACGTGTTCCCAAGCAACGAATCAGCAAGCCTTCCTTTTTTCCAATTTACCCCTCGCTGGCAGTCTGCCTCCACTTTCTTCTTCTCCCAGAGAGAAACAAACATGGAAGAGATTTAATGCAGAGACTGAAGTGAACACTGACAGTACAGTAAACGACAAGCTGCTCTATATTGAAGAAACCCTCAATTTATATATCGATAGAGACCTACAGTATTTTTGGACATGGAGAGAGAGAGCTACAGCTTTCTGTTGGATGTTTTATATTTAAAAAGTTGCACCTTTGAAAATAACACTTGCGCTTGGATTCCCTTTGCCAACATTTTGGGAAATGCATGTATTCACTCTCTTGCAGGGTGTTCGATGAAAAGATTGATGTAGACTATTTATGGACTATTTCTTGGCTGGGCAGTGACTTCCTGGAGTTTCTGCTGGTTGCCTGGAAACCTCTCAGCGAATGTGCCCCACCAAGAAACAGTCTGGCACATATCCCACTGTAAAACCTCACAACGATGGATGGGTTGAATAAAAAAAGGGATAAACAATCTTAAAAATAACAGTAAAAATACAATGAAATATATGTATACACACAGATTTCACACTGCCATCCATCATACCAATATCATACCAGTAATCGTCACCGATATAACACCCCCACACCCCCCTTACACAATGAGGCATGGCAGCTCTAATACAGTCTCTAGTTCTAATGATCCTAGATTCATTTGCGCAGAACAGTCTCATGTCTCGGACTTTAACCATCTCCATTAGGATTGATGTGCATCTGCAAGTAGGAGAATCCCAGAAATAGCTACAGCTGAAAGAAACATGACCTCCAGATAGATTTTCATTAGTCCTGTCCTATTGTGGACCATGACAAAGGGTCTGTCACTGCCCGTCGTCCCTTAACGCATCCAGACAGGCAGATATGATTGCAGTTTTACCACCTCAGGGGCTGCAGTGGGCAGAAGATGGGTAGAGCAGCAATCGGAAGCCTGTTTGGATCTGACATACTTCTTTTCTTCGGCTTTCATTGTATTTCAGTAAATGAGTAAAACAACAGTACAAAAGCTGAATAGCGTGTTTGACGTACTGTCTCTCTTATTTTTCATGAAACGGCATTGTTGATTTTTTTCAGAGGGTTGTATTTCACATGAAAAGACATGCCGTGTGGTTTGGCTTTCTACTAGATTTACACAGAACATTGTGCAAAACCAAAGCAGACCCTTTTCTGGATGGTGAGGTCGTATTTGTCTTTTTGTGAAAATCGTCCATGAAAAAAAAACAACAAAGATAACGGTCAGTGCTGAGAGTTTTCTTTATAAAATATACAATTGAATTCAAAACTTCATACCAGCAAAAGCTCTTGTGCAAGAGTTGTTTTGACAGTGTAATGCAAAAAGCTATCACCAGTCACAGGCCTTTCTCAGCTCTAACAGATCTTGTGGTGCACCCTTAACTATGAATGATCTGTTGCTATAGAAATACAATTGAATTGAATCAGATTCTCTTTAAAACTCCAACACCACAGCCTCACCAACCTACCAGTAAACAGGTGCAGCGTGTACGTCTCCCTTGATCTTGAAACCTTGTCACCAATCATAAAACTTTGGACACATAAGTACATTTTTTTTTAAGTGCACGAATTTAGTGTGAAAACTTGAAGTAGCATTTTCATTAGACTCACTAACATCAAAGACAGTGAGTGGCGGAGTTTCTTGGCTAGACTGATGGTGCTGGCAAGCTCGCTGTACAAACATTCAGCAGAGAGAAATGTCTTCTAAATGTGTGTGTGTGTGTGTGTGTGTGTGTGTGTGTATGTGTGTAAATAGAAGCATCTATTTTCACCATTATTAAGAACTCCATAGTAACCATTATTGTTTGGTATCATAATCAGTCTTACCGCCATAGAAGCCGGGGACCTCCTCATGCATTGATGCATCTGCAAGAGTTAACAAAGGAAATCATGTCAACATATTGAACTATGATGCTTTAAATACATCACTGCTGATATCCACATTTGAATCAGAGTTTCTTTAGAGAGGTGCAGGTCACAGAATTCCTTTTTGCTGCTGAGAATGTGACGAGTAGCTGGAGACCCTGCTTTGCAGTGAAACACTGCCTCGGGCTGAGGGCTATCTCCACTATCTATCCACTACATCCTGCTCTTCACAATAAAATAGAAAACTCAAGACTTTTGCGGTTTGCCTTCAGCGATTACAGCTTTAATTACTCGGTAATGCTGTATTCCAATGGTCATCTACATTTACAGAAGGGAAAAAAACATTTTACCAACCTGGTGATTAAACAATCATTCTGGTGCATCTTTACACTGCGTGTTGTAGTGTAAGCTTTGCCATGAGCCAGCTGATCCACAGAGAATACACACTCCCATTCTATACTTTAGTTGTAGGGTATGTGTGTGCTTGACGTTTGTTCTGCTGTCAGAGCATTAATGTCATATTAATCATCAAACTTTATTCTTGTTGGGGCTAAACAAATGTGTCAAGCCAATGTTCCAGGATTACCATCAGAGTCTGTATGTTGGCTGCTGTCTGTTTAGATGGAGCAGCCATACAGTGAACTCTATATACTGAGTGTATGTGTGCCGTGCAACCATGAATGTGGCGTTTTTGAGCGTTTTTTCCGCCCATTTCTTTTTCTGTAGATGAGTGTCAGCGCATTTTCAACAGGATATTCTAAGCCTTAGCTGCACCGCTGCCAAAACCTTTGGCGAACTCAGCTACAATTGCCTCACCAAGTAGGAAGAAAAGAGACAGATACATCTCCCCAAAGTCTGTTTGAATAAGACGTGGAGGGAAACCGGGAGTATTCCTATTCCCAGCTCCCCCCTCATGTGAAATCAAATCTGAAACGAGTGAAACAGCCCAAGGCACGGGAACACAGAGGTGGTTGTATTATTTTAGACAGGTCATTTTCAGGCTTGCTGTTCTCTGACCACTTTGCTTTGTTTCCAACACAGCTGACTGCACAGCAGCATCACGGAAATAAATGAAAACCTGCAAACTCCAGGCCCTTCAAGTCACACTGTCCAGCCTGGCCTATCAGTATCAGTATCAGTATCAGTATCAGTATACGTAAGCTGTAGCTTCTTCTACAAATATGAGCTTTTTTTGTTGAGTTAGCCTTAGCCTGTGTATCATATCTTAAGTATAGATCTGATTTATTGAGTTAGTTTGCTTTAACACTTGACATTAACACGCATCTTTACTGTAGTCAATGAAATCGGATTTCTATTTCCTCCCCTGTTATCACCTTCAGCATCGTTATCTGAGTAGCTTGTTAAAACCTTTTCTCTTTTGTGCCCCGTTCATCCTGCGCTTCTATCAGCTACCTGCCACCGGTGTCATTTTCATGCTTTGTAGCTGGAGCCACAAATCCAAATTTACGTATGATATGAGTATATCAGACACATTGTATTGACAGTTTGTAAATTTCCGAGTGCGTCTCACCAACATGGATTAAAAAGAACATTCTCTGAGAGCACACTGCGATTACTGTTGAACTAATTAAAACATTTAATGTATCACTGAAGCCAAGTAATTCCTTTTTTGTGATTTACAAGGTTTTATGTCAACTGTAACTCTGAGCTGGGAAACTGAATGACTCATGGGGTCATTCAATAATTCAATAGCTATATAAAGTAACATGATTTTGACATTAAAAGGGCTGATGGTAAGGTATGAGTTTTAGAGACGTGTTGCTTTCATCTAACAGCAGTGATACTGTGTATCTCAAAATACACATTTTGCCAATAAATGGAGTGCTTCCCTTTCATCTGAATGTGCTACTGACCTGCAGGGGAGAGAGAAAGGGCCAGGAGATGGAGGAGCAGGGTGAGGTGCAGCATGATGTTGAAGTCAGGACCACCAGGTGGGGTTACAGCTAGAAGCTCAGCTGATGGAACATTAGCAGGACTGCCTGGTTTTCCTAGGAGACAAAAGAAAATAGAAAGACACATAAATCGTCAAAACACAGAAAACGTCAGTGACGAATGGCTGGAGTGGCTTCTGTTTCAGCTTCTGTATGTGTGTGTGTGTGTGTAGTGCTGCAACTATTACTTTCATAAGTGATTAATCGGTAAATGAATTTAGTAATAAACTGATACATTTTCTATTGTCTATAAAATGTCCCAAAAAAGTTTGAAAGTTCACAGAGCTCAGGGTAACGTCTTCAATGCCTTAATCTATTGATCTATTATCAGAAATGCTGCTAATTAATGTCCGTTTTTCTGAAAATGTATCAGAACGTCAGCAGCCAATCCCTGCCTTCACGTGGCTCAAAGGCCAACAGTGTCGCAGCATCTTTACCGTGTCTCTGCTGCCTGTCAGCCCTCAAGGCACATGCTCCGTGATAGGTTGACGCCTGATGATTGACATTTCGACCGTTGCCAAAAAAAACAACAACTGAGCACTGGTTTAGCTGAGCAGGCACCTCGCTGCTTACTCACTGCCCCCAAGATGATAACACCACACAAGAACCACCAGGGTAGCACCAGCTCTCAGCCTCACGCCCAATAACACAATATGAAGAGCAACAGCTGTCTGACTCAGGGGCGCCGACAGAGACGGGAGGAAGAATTATAATCTCTACATGATGGGTGAGGAAATTTGATTTGAAATGAACGGATTGCATCTGTAAAATTAATATTCTAAATCAGTTTTATGTGTTTATAATGATCTGTTTTTATTAAACATAGCACAACCCCCCCCCTCCCCCCCTTCACCATAACAGAGGCTAAGATGCTCACACTGAAGATATAGCTGTTGAATAAAAACATAAGCTTGCAGTAAATATGAGTGAACACGATGTGGACCAAGGACTTTAAATTTAAAATGTTTAATTCGTAGCATCATTATCAAATCTTTTGACATTTTAAGAGCCGACAGGGAAACAATGAAGAAAGAAACATCTCATTTGCGCCATCATTTTTTTTGTCAGTGTCAATCAGTCCTGCTTTAAACGTCTCTACACCGAATCCAACACCCTCATCTATTCATGTACTGGCCTTACAGTTCTGAGAATCAGTTCAATATTTGTCCGTTCATTCCCAGGTCGTGCTGGACTGGTGTGTGTTGATGAGAGTGTAGTTGAACATTGAGGCAGACACTATTGATTCTTTGTGCACAGCCTGAGGTGTCAGCTGGCGGAGACTCAGAGGTGTGACAGCAGGATTGAGATCTCAGCGCTCACCAGACAAATGGAGTCTTATTACAGAAAATTGATTAAGATAGAAGAGAGTTGGTGTAATATTCCGGTTTTGCACGACACAAACATAACTGCACTGTAACGGCTAAACATCCCAACGCATACACACCGACGCGGACGCAAAAAATGAATCGAGACAAATGGGCAGAGGCGCTGTACAACTACACCACATGCACGATAAGTTGGACACAATGTCCGAGCTGTACAGCTGCAGGAAAGCAACACAGAGGGGAATTCATCTTCACGCCGGCCTGTATCCTAGCAACGCTTTTCAAAAGGAGCAGTTTAGTGTGCTGCGGGGGGGCCTTTTGTGACCGGCAATGAAACTATGCAAACACACGTTTTAATCTGGAACAACACTGCTGTTGTGGAACAAAGACCTATACGGTTCTCCGCTCAGCTGCTACAGACATTCATCTCTTAAACTCAGACAAAGAAGAAAAAATAAGTTAATTAAAACTCACTCCCGTTCTCCACCACTATATTGATACTGAAAGCATGATGTCTGTAACTCATAAAACATAAATGATCTTAATAGATGCACTTAGGCGATTAGGGGAGACGACAAGGAGCCTCATTATAGCGCCACAGTACATAGTGAAAGAACCAAGCCCGTCCATCCATTAAGAACTGTCACTAAATTGATATACTGTAAAAAAACATCACGCGGTACCACTTAGAAAGGCAGCATGCTCTTATAATCAGTATTAACGGGGCCTCCTACCTCACCTTCCCTACCTTAGCAGCCTGAATGCACATGATGAGAGCGCTCCAGTCATCACAGTAAATCACAAGGCCTCGACGTGACAGCGCTCAAACAAGGCCATTTCTTCTCCCCCATAAATCACACCCTGGATGTTGCCAGAGCTATTACTGCTTGTGGTTTGATTTTGGTGTTTTTTCTTGTAATGCTTCCCCCCCCCTTCCCAGCTTTGCCTTGCTCGCTGAATTTCAATCTCTTTCCCTCTCCTTATACTCCCCTTAGAATTCTCAGCCTCATTGCCCTGAAATCAGAAATCATATTTCACTGAGTAGAGGCTGCTGGGGGCAGATTCTTACTGCTGCACTCCAATGGCCAATACCGTCATTTATGCTTTTATCTTGACCCCATAGTCCCCTAAGGGCACCGTAGCATAAGTGAAACCCCTCCCTTTTTCTCCGCTCGGTTCGATGTGTGCTGCATAATCAAGTGGGTAACTTTATGAACATGTCTTCCTCTATCAGCTTTTGGCAGATCCAGTGATGTGGGGGAGGAGAGGAGGAAAGGATAGGCTGGGGGAGAGAATGAGGGAGAGGTCAGAGTGCTAGACTTCAAAAGCAAGACGTTGCTCCAACGACCCCACCCACCTACCACCATCACCACCACCGTCATTCCTTACACACACAAACACAATCATCATCACCATCAGTCATTAACCACAGATTTGCAGTAATCCTGCAAAGGGGAAGCCAAGATGGGGTTAACGCTGGATTGGTCTTAATCAGTTGGAGATGAGAAGATGAGAAGATGAGCGCTGCTGAAGACACAGCGTCAACTACTGAGGCATCCAAGGCTTGTCTGAATTCCACAAGGATGCAAACATCTTTAGCAGCCAAGGCACAAAGAGCCGCTTTGCTGCTCTTCTGTTTTATATCATTGTAAACGATTTCTCCACGGTTTCAAGACATTTTATCGATTAATCAGGAAAATAATTCAATAATGTGTTTCTTCTTTTGAGAGTTGGAGTTCGCAGTGGGACTGGGAAATATTGTATTGTTTATCATTTACTTTCCATTGTTATTCAATCAAGTCAATTTGTCAATTTGTGGTTAGTTTCCCACATAAATAGAACCTATTAGTTGTCGTAGCTGGGGGATTTGGTGGCATCTAGTGGTGTGGTTGCCAATTGCAACCAACTGAATACCCCTCTGCTCACTTCTCCCTTTACAAGACTGTGGTGACGTGAGCCATCGAGTGCAAAACCGCAGTCAAGTAATACATCCCCGAAGGCTATACACTCGCCTTTAGAGTTTTCTGCTTTGCTAATACCTGGTCCAGACGGTCTTTGCACCTCCTTAATAAGATGTGCCCTTTTGAGTCTTTGAAAATAATTTTCAATATTCATCCGGATTTAGGGACAAAACATTCAGCATCAGAGTTTAACATCTAAAATGAAAGTGAATCCAGTTGGACGAGCAGTTAATATTGACTAGCAGCTAAGTACGGCATGCTTACCTTCCCAGCTGTATTCTAACGTTAAAAACCTTAGTTGTTTGTGAAGATGGAAGATGGTTTTGAAAAGACAGTATGCATGTAACAAGCGAAAACAGACTCATGTTGCTGGACTTTTGCAGGACAAATGCACGAAAAGTGAGGAGTAACTTTTCGTAAGATATCAATAAAATGGGGATGAATTTATATCATTGTATAAAGAGAGTGACATGAGAAGATCAATCTCATGTCTGTAAGTTAAATCAGCTATAATCACTATTTTAAAGTGATTAGTGACTCGTCTAAAACATTTAAAAAAGGAATAACTTCAATAGAATCATTCTATACACTGTAGCTTCTTTACATTCTATTAGAATGTAAATAAGTTACATTCTAATACAAAGTAACTTATTTACATTCTATTAGCATGTAAATAAGTTACATTCTAATACAATGTAACTTATTTATTGACAGCGTTGTGTTAGATAGACTAACTTAACAGAGTTACCTTGAATGCATCAGTTTTGGACAAATTTGTGCACAGAGGTGTTTGTGACGCTAACCATTGGTGAACTCTGCATTGATTCTATTCAGCCGTCTACTCAGCGGGGAACAAGAGAAGCTCCTCACTGCAGTGTGTGGTTTGGGGTGTCGCCTCAATGGAGTCAATAAGCAGCGCCTTCAGCCTTTTGTGTGTGTGTTTTTTTTCGGTCATATCACCCCGCCTCTGGGCAGCATATTACTGCTTGGACTGAGGAAAGAAATGTGGAATCTAATGTGAATAAGGTCTCTGATGACTACTGAAAACTCTAAACTCACACATACAGCAGATAAGATTCAATGTCATCACCAAGCGCTACAGGGAAAAACAAGCGAGACAGGCAGTACATCCAGATTAAATTAAGATGAAAGAGGGAGACATTGGGTCCGAACTCATCTTCAAGAGGCAGCAGTGACTCATTACTGTTCAATTTAGTTTTTTAAGCTTTATTTATCCTGAGCCTGCTGAGAACAGTTGCTGTTTTTCTGATTCACATTCCTGATATTGTACACAAACATGCCCCACAGCTGCCCGATACAACAACTTCTACTGAGGGTCCACTGAAGCACCAGGGAAGTTTCATAATTTCATTTTACCATCAAGAATTCAGATATTAAGCTCATTCGAAACCAGTTAACCAGCCACAAGAACAACAACTTCTATTTGTAGTGTCACTAACTATACTCTACTTTCTCTACATATTTCTATGTTACATATTCTGCTTGGTGGTAAAAGCTATAGGTTCAAAATGCTAACTTTAGAAATGTACTTTGACATGCTTTTCTTTCAAATGGAAATAGAAGACCGCACAAATCATATCACATCTGATGAGATCAGACACCTGATATGACTACATACTGTGTTTGAGCAAAAGTCCCAGAACGAAACACAAGCTGTGACCCTTCAATTTTCATGCTGAATCATGCTGAATCGGTGATATTTTACCACAAAACAGCAGTGATACACTTTTGCTTACTTGTAAATTATTCATGACAAAATCATTGATTTTGATTCAGAAATGTGCCACAGACAGCCAGCGTGTCACTTCAACCTCAGCTCAGAGCGATGCACTCCTTCTATACTGCATCTGTGTGCAAAACAAGACTGGACTGTGCTCCAGACAAACAGGTTTGTATCTCCCAGAAGACCAACAGAATGATTCAATCAAATAAAGGATACAGAGGCTATCCAAGCCTATTACACAGAGGATAAAGCAGTAACCCCAAGACACACATAACAACACCTGCAGAAAAAAATAGGCTTTCTGTGCTTTGTGCTGCACAGGTCCACTGTTGCTAAGCAGGAACTGACTCAGCATTTAATAGAAAAAAATGATGTTTCAGTTCGTAACTACTTCATATCTTCTGCAGCCAGAATTCACTTTTCATCTTTTCCTTTGAGCACTTTAGGGCAGTAAATAGCAGAGACATCTTTTACTAGCGGAAATCCAGTTCATCTTGTTCTCTTAAATGAGAAACTGTTAATAATTTAGTATTATTCATTGATTTAAAAAAAAAAGAAAAAAAAAAAAAGGTAGAGTTTGATTTAGCATGGATTAATTGTGAATCTCATGAACACCTAAACCTACATAGCCATGTAATGGAAGACCCCTGCAACAAATATTTAGTGTCAACCATTTTTTTCTATCACACTGTGTTAGTGAGGTGTGAATTTAGTCTGTATTCGTCTTCAGGCTGTTATTATGTGTGTTGTGTGCTATCTCATGCTTTTTTTTGTCCATCCCGTGCAAAAACACCTCAACACCTCCTGAACCCAGAGAACAGGCAGCATGTCTCCGTATGAAGTACAGTATTATTCATGATGTAATCCAGCTGCAGACCGTCCAGTCATGGCTAGTTCACCGTGTCAGTCTATCTCACCTCCTTCCCTCTCTCCCTCCCTCGTTCTCTCTCTGTCTCCCACCCAATAGACAAAGTCATGCTAATCCCTGCAGTCAACAGCCCCCCCCAAGGCCACACAAGCTCAGCAACCACAGCTGACCTGAATACCAATGACACCAGTCAATCAGTCCATGAGATCCGGAGCTGGACTTCTGTATGAATTACATTAACCTCAATTCAGGTAATGTCTGCGAACTAATGCAGAGGGGCAATAGCAAACACGTGACTTGAATCATAAAAAAAATGAATACAACTTTTGCTTTTCACAGTGTGAGTTTGAGGAAGCTATCATTTCATGCCGTGTCTGAATTGCGAGGGACAAACCGAGAGCAGGGAATGATGGAATAATGGTGATGGAATAATTTTGCTATCTGGAGTGAGTAAAGTGATGATTTAAACCTTGTGGTTTTTCCATTTCTGTAGCCGCTTATTAGCTGTATTCCATCCCATCCAATTAGGTGTTCACTTGGTAAGTCAAATGTTTCACAGAATGGAACACATTTTTAAAAAAGGACACGTAAAAAGAGAGCTGCACGAAATGAGCAACAGAATTATTTTTTGTCAATATTGAGATCACGATTGTTTATCACGATTATTTCTTGTTTTTAGAGACACACTTTGCACTTTCACATTTTCACTGTTCTACAGCCTTGCTAATATATACATCTTTGCATGACGATGAGATGGTCCGTAGTGCTAAAATAAAGTTCTTCTTCAACTGAAATTCAGCGAGAACTGAGTCAGCAAACGGGCAAACGGAGGAATATGCACTATATTACTTTTCTACTCTGGAGGCTGCAACATTCAGGGAAGTTTTTCCCAGGCTGCCGCTCTATGCTGTGCGCACACACAGCAGACTGACAACTCCCCAGAAGGGAAACATTTAAATCTCCCCGTGGTGGCTGGCTGTTAAGGAAGCACTTGATTTGATATGCAGCAAAGTTTTCTATGAGCGGGGCAAGCATTTTAAACGTCAACATTGGACTCGACCATGTTCATTTTACTGTTGGAAGACAACAATTAATTTTAATAAAATATAGAGGTAAAGAAACTGTTGATTTACTAATACAAATGGTATGCCGTGTACAGATGTATAAATGTATTTATGCACACAAAAATGATTAAACAAGTAAATTGGATTCAGTTCAAAAGAAGAAAATCTGTAATTCATTTCCATACCTGATCTCTAAATCTTAAACCTCAGGACTTGCCCCAACCCCCCCAAAAAATCAAAGAGCATCAAACTCCAAGGAAGCAGAGATCAACTGGTCCAAATATTGAATCTATGGCGGCCATATATCATAAAACAAGATGATCATTCTCTCTGCCTCAAATGAACAGAGCAGATCTGCATGACAAATCATAATATTAGCTACTTCCTTACTCTTTCAGGATCGAAGCAAACATTTCTTGACAGTGTGACAATCTACGGACTAGACAAAGATGATTCCAAATGTAGTATATTAAAAGAGGATTAAAAGATAATCCCATTCCAAACAGGCCTTTATAATACTTTAAATGCTACCAACATAACATTGGTTTGCAGCTGTTTTAATGTTGAGGTAATTTATCGTAACACAGAAATGCGTTGACCTTTCAGTGCAACAGCCACCAAAGAGTGTGATGCAGTTTATGTCAGAATAAAACTCAAGAGAAAGATATGAAATACTAGATGTGCTTCCAAGTATGGAAAGTATGTCACATCATGTATGATAAATTGTGCCATATAGGCAAAGGTCAGAGGAGACGTGCACTCACATAAAGAAGGAGTACTTAACTTAATTACTTAACGCCACATCTGTCCAATAAAGATACGGGCTTCTATAGGAGAGCAGTGGCATGCTTTCACTCATGGCTGCACACTCTGCTGTAAATAACCGTTATTAATAAGTGACAGAGTGAATCTCACACTTGAGGGCAAAGGCACAAGGAAGAAGAGTGCATATATTGCAATTAGTGCATCCTGAAGTAAACTGAGAAAACAATCAATACCTTCAGATTGCACAAAGGAAAGGTCTCGGAGGGAAAGTGTGAATGCAGTGCATTTATTCCGCATTGGGCCGCAATGAATGCAAACAATAGAGAGATTAATCTAAGTTGGGCCTTCCCCACGACATATCCCTTTCATCTCCTCATTGGATTAGAGGGTGTGAATCCAACATTAGGCTCCAGATTAACTTGACAAACTGAAAGTTTAATTGCATGGTCAAGAAGAGGAGGAGCTCACCAATTAGTGGAAAACAATCACCGCACAAAACTATAAGAGAAGCCCGGTAAAACAATCAGGGCAAGGAGAGTGTGTGGTGCTGCTCTGCACAGTGCTTACCTTGCTGTGGAGGGCTATCACGCCAGTGGCTATGTGACAAGATGAGCTACTTAGCAGCCTGTGTCCCCATCCCCTCCAACGTGCCAACCCTGCCAAGTGTCCTAAATACGCCGCTCCATTGTCTGCACTCAGAAACGAGCAGCGCTGCTGGATGGAAGCGCTCTCTCCAAGGTGCAGAGAGGAGGGATGGACGATGGTAAAAAAAAAAAAAGAAAAGGCTAATTCCCCGAGCAGGACAGGGAGCCATGCAAATGGGACACCAGTGAAGGAGCCTCCCTACAGTGAGAGCGCTCCACAGAGGGGCCTTCTCTCATCACCGTGGCCAGCCTTGGGTTTAATCTTTTAAGCCCTCCCACCCCACTCAGACACACCAGCAAAAAAACACACACACACACACACTGTTGTGGCAAAATGACGAGAAGAGACGGCGAATTGAAGTTGCAACCAGCGGGAAGTGTTTTAATAAGCTCACGCCCAACATACAACGAGTTTAGCAAATCCGAACAAATCCAAAGTATTACTTTTCACAGATCACTTTTATAGTCAAACTTCACCCCCCGTAAGTCACTTTCCACCAATCAAACCAGTCCGTTGAACCAAAAACAAAGCACATCTGGTCTCTTCATTATGTCATGTTCTCATGACTTCGTTTGGGTCAAGGTAACCTTTTGGCAGAACACATGATTCATGTACGGGAAATGTTTTGGTACAATTTGTCTGGCGCGCCCTAATCACTTCCGAAGAATGTTTCTGTGAAACAGAATGTGTTTCACATAACACGTTATATAAACTGTTTACTTGTGAATCCAAATGTGTCCAAATCTTAAGTCATATGATGATTTTCTTCAACACAAACACACACAATTTCAAAAGTAACACCCCTTTTCCACCCGCACCCCACCCACCATCACTCTCATCATAAGCTTGACAGCGGGCCAGACGTGTCATCAGCACTGTCATAAAGTCATCTTCCGTTGCAGAGAGAACTATTTTTCTTCTGGAAAAGATGCCCATTTGTGAGGAGCTGAAAAAGACAAGGAAATGCATGCTTTGCAAAAAAGTGTCGATACGGCTGTTGCTGCGATATGGATTAGTAACTTGAAAGTCAGTCCGAAGTCGACTGAAGTTAATTTTCTTCAGTCTTTTCAATTTCCCTTCTTCTTTTCTATTCATCTTACTAAAGAAAGCCAACAATAATTGAGCGTTTCTTTGAAGTTCATTCATCTCCTCTCCTTGAATAGAATTCTACTTTTGCTTTCTTCTGCTTTTATTAACGAATGAGCATATTGAATATCTCAAAGCTCCAGTTTTAACCAAAGGCAAACGGAAGTCACCCGACTTAAGACATAAAACAACAGAGAAAAGTAGAATAAGGTAGAAGAGCTAAAATAAGTAGTCAAGAACCATTAAGCAAGACACTGAACCCCACACCTCTCCAGTGGAGCTACTCATGGGCTAACAGCCTAATGATGATCTATTATTCAGCTGCTCCTAGTTGTTGTGAGTTTTATACTGAGCCTGTGTGGTGACGTGAGGTTTTAGTGGTGTGTGCTCTGTTCTGTGGAACAGGAGGCAGCCACCATTAAACAAACTCTCACATTGTGCCTTTGGGTTGCATTAACTTGGAAAATGCAGAGCAAGTGGTGCAGGGATTTGGTACAGGGGGCACTAGAGTAGATTTAGGAGATTTGGAGCCTTGTATGGCCCACACAACAAATCCGTCTGAGTTTCAATGAGCGTTATGTTGGTATTAACACATGCAGCAGCATTTTTAGCCCAGCCGGATTTGACAACATGATAAATTGCAGGCTTTATGCTAGGACAACAAAACAGAGAGCAATGAATTGATTTAAATTATTGGATTCCACGGTGCTTAATCATGCAGAGGTCCCGATACCCTATTACCATCTATCTTACTGTGTAATTTATGTCCAGCTGAAGCTCTAAAGGAAGAAAAAGCTTCTTAATTGATATGATTCACTCATAAAACCTTAAATTATGTCATGGAGGGATTGGGAATGACCCAGACAGGACTGGAGAATATCAAATACAGTAAAAGAAGATCCACTCGTAACATAAGGCTGTAAGTAACATTAACTTTGTGGGTCATTCAACTTACATAAGTGATTACAGAAAATAAAAGGGATTATGGAGGGCAAGTGGTGAGAGCAGTGTGTTTCAGTGCTGAAAGCAGACAAAAGGCAGTGCATTTTGTACTAAAATGTTCCAAATGAAATCTGAAATCCACAAATGTCTGCACTTAACCTTCAAGTCATCAGAGCTAATGGATCAGGTCAAGAGGAGAGCTGCAGATGATGATTGAGACCAAAGCCAACCTCATGGCTTCCATTAAGAACAGTCAGACAGGACACTCAAAAGCCAGGATAATTGTGCAAAGAAGCAAGAAGTAGAATTTCTTCTTTTTAGCAAACACTCCGTTACTTTTCATGAACCATGAGCTCCCTGGGTAATCAAAACTGATGCAAATCTGTCAGGAGCATACAGCATGTGGAGCAGGGCAGAGCGCAGCGGCAGAGCATCCGGCCTGTGTCTGGCTGGCCTCACTGCTCCGGCTTTTTTTCTTGGATGCGATTTACCCAAGACGTCTGAGTCAGCACAATCCCACCGCTGACGGGAATAACAGAGGCTCCTCTCCTCCCTTCTGTCTATGTTACGGAGTCGCGGTATACATTCAGAGTGGGTAAATATTGTGTGTGCTGCTACACAATACCACTCCGACCACAAAAGGCAAAAATCCCATTAGCATTTAGAGATAGATGTTGCTGTTGGTTTTAGTTGGATATAGTTCTTTGGTGTATGTCATTTGGGGAACAAGATGAGCAGGAATTGCTTTAATATTGTAAAGTCTGCAACCGAGAGCTTATTGGAAGTCAACTGCATGTTAGATTGGGGAAGGATGAATTAGATGTTTTTTTTAAGTGGGATGTGCAGCATTTCATATTCATTATACATACACATTCTCTTCTGTATTGTGACCAGTTTTACTCGGGACAAAGGTATACAGGATAGAAGCTAACACAAAGGAGACTGAATACAGTTATTCAAGGAATACACTCCATTTTATACCTGCATACAATCTCATCAAAAACACTATTTCTGCCAATATTTCTCACTTTGCCAATAAAATATATGAATCACAATAATGCCACATACCCACTTCCACTTTATGCTCTACAGCACAGCTGCAGAAAACAAATGAATAAACGATTAAAGAAACACAGCACATTGTCTAAAAGTGCACGGAAAGCATAAACAATGAAATTCCAAACTCGCACTTAGTGTGCATGACGAGTTTTCCATTTGCAACTTGGCTTTCTGTTCAATACATTAAACTGGCTGTAATCTCAGATCATAAGCAATGTAATTAAAAACCATACACCATTCACCAATTATCTAGAATATCTAAAACCAAGATCAGTAGCTGAGGGAGCTGTGACACATTTTGCTCCTTTTGCTCCACTGCAAATACGGTTTCATCTGGTGTGAACATGGACTAGATTAAACTATTTAACACTGATGGAAGGCATGCGAGCCTCATTTGTGGTTTGTCTTTTCGCCCTGGTTGTCTCCTCCCTATGATGACATTTGATTTGGAGTTGCATGTCAGCAGTATAACGAGAAGACTGGATGCATAAAAGGAAGAACAGAAATACAGATTCAATGACATTGTTCATGGTTCTTGTTTTCTGTACTCTACAGAGATTTGGGGGTCTACAATCTTCTTCTTCAGCTTTTAACAGTACATCCATTATTCCTGACCTCTAACATACAGTTGTTTACCAATTTGAACCGTTTTTATTCCACAAAACACCCTCTTGGGTTTCTTACACTGTGAGCTGGTTCATGTAGATAAGAGTGTCTGAATAAGTAGCTATGTGTGTGTGTGTGTGTGTGTGTGTGTGTGTCACCAGCTGTCAAAGTAGTGAACTGCAACCTGCTGGTAAAACGCAGGTCAGTGAATCAGAACGTATTGACGCCACACATGAATTGATCAACTTGCATAATGTTAATAGGGATTTACTGCTGCTGTTTATGGTTGATTGATAAAAGCAGAGACACGACTACAGTCTCTCCATGGCTTGAGTTTAAGCCAAAGTAAATTACCCCTGATTGCACAGATCCGATCATTTCTTTGTCTAAGCCTTTTATTGCTGCTCAGTGAGTCGGTCAAACACAATAGGAGCAGCAAAAGCTGGCCAACTTGTGACTTCGGAGAAGAGCCCCATTTGGGCCCAACCTGCCCAAAAGAGCTTTTGTGTGCACGTTAATATGAGTAGTGCTGAGAGGTTTGGCTGAATGAAGCTACCTTGAAAGGCGTTCAGCTCTTATAGCAAGTGCTTTTATTGTATGTCAGCTGGGGAATGAGGTAGGGAGTGGAGCACAATTGGATTACTTTGATTACTTGATAGGGGAGAGAAAATAAAAACAACTTCTTTCAAGCCCCTAAAAATATGAGTTTCAAAATGACTCAGCTGGTTATGCAATGTGCTAATAGTGACCTTTTTCCTCAAGACTGTGTGTGTGTTTTGTGTTTTGATCAATTTGATTGACAGTGACCTGGTGACATACGCAATCATCCCCAAATCGTTCATCATATTTTGATTCAAATGTTGCTAAATCCTTTTCGGTGCACAGTAGTAAGTCACATCATGTCTTTTCAAACTGAGCCCCACCCACTTCAAAGCAGAAGTCTGTAAAATAACCAGAACTGTTCAGACTTTGGCAGACATTACAGTATTCATGTGGAACCCCATCACTATTAGTAAAAAGCTGTTTCCATGGCCTTTCAAGTTGTGCCAAATTCAAGCCAAGGTTATTTCACCTTGGGTTTTCATTTACTTTACTTTTTTCCAAAGTAATTTATTCAATATTAATTTTGCTCATTTGGTTGAAAATGATCTCTCCGTTACCATTGCACATGGAGGGTTGGCTCTCACAACATATTCGGAAAGCAAAGCGAGAGTGCCTGAATTCTTAGAGAAAGAGAGGAAACATGTCATTCTGTTGATGGCACAAGCACAATGACATAAAATGATGCATAGAAAGGCGTTACAAAAAGGTCATTGAGACTCGTTATATGGTGTTAACAGCTTCTAAGTGGGAAAAACACTCACCACAAGCAACATTTCCAACACTGTTCAATACTTCTGGCCTACAAACGCAACATACATGGATAAACAATGCACATATAGGGCACATTACATTATCACAGCATACATGACGATAAAGCTAGACTCTGTTTTGCCCTAAGAAGCTACGCTGGGCATAGAGGACAAAATACCTCAGAGTTAAGGCTTGATATGAATAAATCAAACACTGTCCATGTGACACCTGATACAGTATAATGCACCAAAAAGAATGAAAATAAACAATTAATATTTGATGATCTGCTACCTTGGTGGCTCAAACATGTGCTAGTAATGCCTCAAGTAGAGAAAATGTCAACAAGACAAGACTATTGTCACTTACATGATGCGCTTACAGACACACAACAGAGACACACATACTGTGATACCCACCATGCCATTCCTTATAACAACCTGCAAACTGACAGACACATGTTCAGTGACCACTCACACACATACCGCTTCAATAGGTTAATCCTTTCGGTGTGCAGCACTGCAGTGTTGACGTAGGATGTTTCATTCTGAAAATCACAGAGCCAGCAGACACACACACACACACACACACACACAGACCAAACAGTGACCCACTCTGCCACCCACCTCTGTTTCGGTGCACACAGCCCCGAGGTGCACGCAGACGCACCCCAACACCCCTGTAGCTGCAGCCCTGTGAGCGTTGAGTTGGCAGCAGTGGTGCCAGCTGTATATCTCTCCGCTACAGTATGCCTCGGGATAAAACCACTGGTCTGCTAGTGCTGGTTAGCAACCGCTGTCATGGCATCCTGCCCCCTTCTATCACAGGCACTCAGGGGCACAGGAGCCCTCTCCATCACACACACACACAAACACACACACACTCACAAACAAACGCACACTCACGTAAACATTGAGCTGTCAAATCATATGGCTTCCCAGTGGTGATCCCACATCACAGTGGACGGGGAGCAGAGAGAGCATGAGAGTGATGAGAGAGAGATAGAGGGGGGATGGGGTTGCATATGTGTGTGTTTTACATAGAGAGGGTGAGTGATAACAGGGTATGGCCAGAAAGCATGGCAGTCATGAAAAATGACAGCATGGAAGGAGAAGTAAGATTACAGTATGTACCATGTGAGGGATGCTGCTGGAAAAGGAGAAGAAGAAGAAGAACAACAAGACAAATAAAAAAAAGTTGCAGAGCTGAGAACAAACTGTGAGAGTGAGGGAATAAGACAATTACATTTCTTCTCTGTTCCCTCAGCTGGAAACACTAGACCACACTCGAGGAAACCAGCCACAGCGAGGCAGCTGAGCTGCAACAACAAAAACAGCTGCCAGGCTCCCTGCCCTGCTGCAATCTTCACCTTCATCCCCTCTTCCTCCTTCACTCATTCACTTTTCTTGTGGATCAACTCTTCCTCCCATCTTCACTTCCCCCCTCTTCTCATTCCCTCTCTTTCCTGTATTTCCACCCTCTTATCCATCTGTTCTGGCCTTGTCTTCCATGCTTTCTCCTCTTTTTTTATTTTCCATACAACCCTCCTCTCATCCATAATGGAAGGTTTGGAGATATCCGCTTCCTGTAGTGGGCCTTGTGCCCTTGGAGCCAGTCAGACTGTATTGATTCCTGCACCGGAGAAGTCATCAAGGCATAGATAATAAGGCTTATAGTCACACTGAATTTTCTGCATCCTTCCCTCACATCGATCTTCTCCTGTCCTACACTGTCTGTCCTGTCCATCATAAGATGCACACAAATCCAAATAACAATATGGATTATTCGGTTAAAAATTGGGAATTATCCAATCCGGAGGTGTATACGGAGGTGTATCTAAGTGAGTAAAAAAAAATGAGAGTAGGAGCAAGAATAAGCAAGAGAGGGACTCAGAGAGGATATGGAGTCTCTAGCAAATGTGTGTGAAGGTTTTCATACGTGTCGTTCTTATCCAGATGGCAGTGATCTGCATTGCACAACAATAAACCCAGAAAATAACGATAATTAGTTTCAGCTAGAGGAATTCACCGAAGCCGCAGAAATCCAGTCTCTTCTCGGCGATCTGTGTCGCGTCACTGGGTGCTGCTTTGAGGCTCATTAGACTAGATATCTGCCCTGTGCTGTGGCTAGCCGGCCCCTCCTTTGACCCAGGTCTTCATATATAGGTCAACATTGGCAGTTAAGTGACTGACATGTCTCACACACACACAATGCTGCTCTTTTAAGGACTGGACAGACAATCACTTATGCCCTGCAGCATCGGAATATAACAATGTCCAGTACAAACGGGGACACACCAGAAATCTGTTGTTCACTTAAAGCAGCACCTTCTGTGAAGTTATAGGAGCCTTTGGAAGAGAAGGGTCAGTGAGTTCTTCTCTGTGCTTCAAGAAGCGTTGCATCTTCAGGAACATGGTAGGGCGTCATTAAATAGGGCAATTTTCATGCCCGCTGAACAAAACACATACAATGTATGTAGTGGGCGGCTAGATGCAAAGAGACAAGAGAAAATATGTCAAGACAACAAATTTTTCAAGCCTGGAATTTGATGTAAAGGGAATGGTAGATGGATGTCAATGGAAAGAAAAAACATGATCTCTTTTTATTCAACATCTCTCTAGTAGTTAAGACTGCATACATTGGGGTCAGCTATGGCTGCAATCTCCCACCGCACTCTTTATATCACAACAGCGATATATATTACACGCTGAAGCACATTTTCTGTAATTCAGCTGAGAAACCATTTATGGATAAAACATAATAGCATGGGCCAGTATTTGCAGAGAAATGCCAAAATATCAATGTCGAAAGTAAGAAATAAATGCCGATCACAATTCAAGTTGAAATATCCATATTGCTTGTTTTCTGCTCACGAAGAGACCAAAGCACAAAGATATTAAATGTAAAGGAGCCAAACTGGGCCCTTGTGGAACAGATCACTGGAACCAACACTTGTGACAGTAAGAGTGACATTTTTGCCGGATTAAATCGCGTTGTTACGTCTATGTTCACAGCTTTATACAGTATTCATGAGAAAGGGCAGCCCATAGAGTAGTATCTCTAATCATGATACCCTTAACTTTTATTCACATACACACGCCTGCACACAAAGTAATAAGAAACCCGGGGAGCCAGCCAACAGTAGTGGAATAAGTGTTCCCATCCCCTTCTGGCAAACTAAGCCCGAAGACATGAGCTTTTTTTCCTCTGGAGTGGAAAAATAGGTCTG